CCACCTCCAGCGTACATATGCATGGGGCTGGGCTGGGCTGGGCTGGCCTTTCGGGGGTTGAGGCCTGCAGCTACCCTTGTGTCTGTTTTCTGTGTCTGTGTCTGTGTCGTAGTCGGAGTCGGAGTTGTCCCCATCCTCAGCCACGTCGTGCTCGTCGTCAACGTTGCTTCATTTGGCTTCAGTTCACTTTGGCTGGGCTTTTGGATCTGGTACCGAGGACCATGGACCGAGCATTTGGCACCACTCACTGGCGCGTCCTTTGGCTTGTGTCCTGGCATAGTTAGCTCGCCTGACTGCCCCCGCCAGCCCCCTGCCCACCGTCTGCTCCTGTCCTGTGTCCTACGGCCTGTGCTTTTAGGTGTTGTGCGCACTTTGCGCTGTCTGCGTTGTTGTCCTTGCAGCCTTCTATTTTTTTTTTACTTGCTAGCGAGACAGAGACAGAGAGAGAGAGAGAGAGAGAGGAAGACAGGGAGAGAGAGGGAGAGAGCGTGTGTGATTGGAGTTTATATAAGGCGCCTATGTACTTGCCTGACACATGTCGCCCTCCTTCCAGCTCCACTTGTTCGCACCCCCCCCCCCCCTTACCCTCACCCGTTTATGCTGTGCTCCTCCGAAGCATTTTGTTGTCTGTCTGTTTATTTGCCCGTTTCTTTATTTGTTTGTTTGCCTTCGTGTTTGTTGATTTGCGGCCATTTGCCGTTTGCTCGTTTTGCGCCCCTCCACTTCACTTCACTTCACTTTCTTTTTAATATTAATCCCAAAAAAAAAAAAAAAAATTAATAGAAATAAACAAAATGAAAAAATGCCAACGTTATCCTGTGTCCTTTTTGGCCAAACACTCGCAAAAGCACACCTGCCCGACGAAATCGATAGACTCGCATCTGGCTTTCGGAAATAAATACTTAGTATTTGCCAAGGACCTGTGGGCTGCTCTCCCAACGGAGAAGGGAGGCTCACTCCATGAGAATATAAGATAGAGAGAGAGTTGAAGCCGAGCAGAAGATAGTCCAGAAAGAACGTCCAAGAGGGCAAGCTCAAGGCAAGTTTTGGGCTGCAGGTTCTTTATCATCTATCTTACACCAAGTGAAATATTCTCTACTCTCTCTCTCGCTCTCGCTAACGTGTTAAGTGATTGACGGATTGACCGACTGAGTAACTGACTGATTGACACATTGAATGACTAACTGCATTTTTTAAGCCAAATGATTCCCATTTTCGGAACTTTAAGACTTAAATATTTGCATTACCATGAATTCTCTCTTTCCATTTTTAAAAGCATCTTCCTTATCAATCACCTGGCTAGTTGAATGACTGACTAATTGACTAACTGATTGACTGGCCAACAATATTTTTCACCCTCAACTATTTGCATTGCCCAAAGTTTTCTCTTCCCATTCTCAATACCATGCTGAACATCTTGATCAATCACCATACTGACTGAATGACCGACTGAGTAGCCAACTAGCTGACTGATTGACTGACTGACTGACGGACTTACCATATTTCTCCGGCTAAGTGATTCGCATATCTCGAAGTTTTCTCTTCCTCCTGCTCAATAACATGTTGAACATCTTGATCAATCACCATACTGACTGAATGACTGACTGAGTAGCTAACTAGATGACTGATTGACTAATTGACTGACTGACTGACGGACTTACCATATTTCTCCGGCTAAGTGATTCGCATTTCTCGAAGTTTTCTCTTCCTCCTTCTCAATAACATGTTGAACATCTTGACCAATCACCATACTGACTGAATGACCGACTGAGTAGCCAACTAGCTGACTGATTGACTGACTGACTGACGGACTTACCATATTTCTCCGGCTAAGTGATTCGCATATCTCGAAGTTTTCTCTTCCTCCTTCTCAATAACATGTTGAACATCTTGACCAATCACCATACTGACTGAATGACTGACTGAGTAGCTAACTAGCTGACTGATTGACCGACTGACTGACGGACTTACCATATTTCTCCGGCTAAGTGATTCGCATTTCTCGAAGTTTTCTCTTCCTCCTTCTCAATAAAATGTTAAACATCTTGATCAATCACCATACTGACTGAATGACTGACTGAGTAGCTAACTAGATGACTGATTGACTAATTGACTGACTGACTGACGGACTTACCATATTTCTCCGGCTAAGTGATTCGCATTTCTCGAAGTTTTCTCTTCCTCCTTCTCAATAACATGTTGAACATCTTGACCAATCACCATACTGACTGAATGACCGACTGAGTAGCCAAATAGCTGACTGATTGACTGACTGACTGACGGACTAACCATATTTCTCCGGCTAAGTGATTCGCATATCTCGAAGTTTTCTCTTCCTCCTGCTCAATAACATGTTGAACATCTTGATCAATCACCATACTGACTGAATGACTGACTGAGTAGCTAACTAGATGACTGATTGACTAATTGACTGACTGACTGACGGACTTACCATATTTCTCCGGCTAAGTGATTCGCATTTCTCGAAGTTTTCTCTTCCTCCTTCTCAATAACATGTTGAACATCTTGACCAATCACCATACTGACTGAATGACTGACTGAGTAGCTAACTAGCTGACTGATTGACCGACTGACTGACGGACTTACCATATTTCTCCGGCTAAGTGATTCGCATTTCTCGAAGTTTTCTCTTCCTCCTTCTCAATAACATGTTAAACATCTTGATCAATCACCATACTGACTGAATGACTGACTGAGTAGCTAACTAGATGACTGATTGACTGTTTGACTGATTGACTGACGGACTTACCATATTTCTCCGGCTAAGTGATTCGAAGTTTTCTCTTCCTCCTTCTCAATAACATGTTGAACATCTTGATCAATCACATGCCCCATTTCCACACGCCAAGCCCATTCCGATGCACGTATCCGAATCGTAAGCGTAATCAGGATGCAGTTCGTTGCACTTTTCCGATTGTTACGAATTCGTTTCGATTCGTTTCGCTTCGGTTTGTTTTGTTTCCAGCATTGTTTTGTTGAGTGTGTTGTGTTTTTTTATCAGTTCGAGCTGATCATCTGCCGCGCCCTAAGCAGCACACACACAGACAGACAGACAGACAGACAGACAGACAGACAATTGTTTCGATTACGCAAAAGGGAAAAAAAAGAAACCAGGCGAATGCAAAACGTGAAATCGCGCTAAGCCCAGGGAGCCAGAGAACGATCCGCCAGGATAATAGCTCAAGGCTGTATGCCTCTATTGTCCAGGCAGGCAGACGCTCCCGGCTTGAATAAATAGCGCCGGCTAAGCAAACAGCAACAGCAACAACACGAATTGGATGGAAAGAAAACGAAAATACATAATTGGGTTGCCAAATATTGCGCAGCTAAGAAGGAACCGGCACAATGCGGCCTCTCGCAGGATGCACAGCGCACCCACGGCGCAATATAGACTAGGCGCGCGGGGTGCGCATCCTTTTGTCTAGCTAAGCGGAAACAGGCAATCGAGAAAGTGGCGCGTCCTGCACCAGGATCTGGCTGCCGATAGCGGCGGCGGCGGCGGCGGCGGCGGCGGCGGCATCATCAAGTTGAGAAGCTAAGTAGCCGGCTAAGCTGGCGTAGCCAAAAGAGTTGTCTGCCATTGGGCAGATCGATCTGTCGATCTGTCGATCTGTTGATCTGTCGATTGTCGCCGCTAATTGTGCGTAAGGATGCGGCGCAAGGTGCCGCCGGCGATCAGCTGTTGAGCAGCTGGCAGCTGGCAAGGATCAGCGGGCGCTGCCACAAAAGCTTCATGTGACCCTTTGAAGTTGGCCCGACAAACGCCTCGCTACCGTATGTGTGTGTGTGTGTGTGTGTGTGTGTGTGTGTGTGTGTGTGTGTGCCGGGGGGACGCCTGTCATAACTGCACAAAGGACTGAAGGCAGCTTCATCATCGGCCTCATCCTCTGGCCCAGCTTCAGCATCAACTTCAACTTCCAACTTCAACTTCCCTTGGCCTTTTGTTTAGCTGCCCGAATCTCTGGCCATATAGATTTCAGTTTTGGGCAATGTTCCCGTCGCGGTAAGCGATATGCCTGCTTGTTCTTTTAATTGCTCGATAGGCAATCTCTTGCTCTCTCCCTCTCGCTCCCTTTGGATCTGTGCCGTGTCCTGGCAACTGGAACTAAACAGCAACAAACAGTCGACGGCGGCGACCATTTGGCCTCAATGTCGGCGGTTTGGCGGCATTTTATTTTATATATACATTTCTTGTTTTTTTTTTTTGATTGTCGGCGGACAACACATAACTATATCAAATTACAGTGATGGGAGGGGGCGGGGCGTTGCAGCAGGCATCGCGGCGACTAAAGGCAAGGTTTTTGGCAAGCAAAGGCTGGCCATAGGCTGGACAAATTTGTCATTGATTGCGCAAAAGAAGGAAAATTAAAGTTAATTTCCGCATTTTGTCAAATTCAAATTTGCCGCTGCATAACAGCCCTGTTCTTGCCATCCCTTAGCCAGGACACGCAACCGAAGTGCAAGTGCACAAACCTTATACAAGTTAACGAAAGTAACGCTTAATTCCGCCTGGACATGCACCACAAGCTGCGCTTACTTGCAACTTGGCTATTTGGTTGTAAGATCGGCTGCAGCTCGTGTGCGTGCTGCCATATCGCGCGCATATCCTGCGCATGGCCTATGACCAGTGGCAACACCGCACGCACCGACATGTTTTTTTTTTAGCCGTGCGTGCAGCGCCCAGCCACATACAGTCAGTCGAGAGCGGACAGCAACCGCCACAACAACTTTGTTCAAACACACAGCCTCTCAGAGCAGGCAACAAGCATACGAGCAGCAACAACATCAACAACAAAGCAGCAATGTCAGCGACTAGCTACAACAACAACAACAACAACAACAGCAACTGCAGCAACAACAACAACAGTTTTTAGCCAGCGCCCACTCCCCCACAGCTCCAATTAGATCCGCAGAGTTACCGCAGCTTCCGTTCCGTTACTTTTGCAGCGAACAGCTGTGTGACTCAGCGTGCGCGTGTGTGCCTCTGTGTGTGTGTGTGTCTGCAGGCAGACAATTAACTGCTAGCAGCAAAAAGTCCTGTTACTTCACAACGTTATTAGCAATTATAGAGCAGCCCAACTGTTAAAAAAGAAAATACATATATATTCCAGAGTCCTGTGTGCGCGCGGTTACATAAAAAGAAAATATCAAAAAAATACACAAAGGCCAATAACAAAAATTAGTCATTCATAATTTATTGATTGTGTGCGAGCGTGTGCGCGTGTGTGTGCGCGTGTGTGTATGTGTGAGTGCGCGCTTGTAGCTGCTACTGGCACAACTACAGCCACAACAGCTAGTATTTGAACGCAGTTAAACAAAAGTCGCCTAGTCGCTTAGTCCTGTTTGGAGCCTGGCTGGCATTAAAAATCAATAGACACCAGCAGCAGCAGCAGCAGCAGCAGTAACAAGACAAGACAACGACAACAGGCTACAAAACGCAGCAGCAACAACAATAGCAATAACGGATTATAGACGACAAGCACACACAAGCACAGAGCAGAAAGAAAGAGGGAGGGAGAGTGAGCGAGACGTCGCAGGTAGGTAAAACAGGCGACAGCGTCATCCAGCAGGCACCATAATAAAGTTAAAATTGAGCAAGTGTCGCGTGCGTGTGCCTGTGTGTGTGTGTTTGTGTGTGTGTGAAAGGGTGGGGAAGCGCGCGAGCAAGTGCTTAAAAAGTGCAGTTAATTACGCGACAGCAACAGCAACAACAATAGCAGGCGCCAGTGTTGCTGTCCTTTGCAAGTGCGAACAGCAGGCGCCAGTGTTGCTGTTGTTATTGCCAACTTTCCGGCAGCGCCTTGCTCCCTGCTGTTGTTGTTTTTGTTATTTTTGTTATTATTGCTGGCTGCTGCTACTTTTTGTCATTAATTAGATTACAAGAATTTTTGCTGCTTCTACTGCACATTTTAGCTACATACATACATACATACATATATTTATTGTATTATGTAAGCGTCAGCACAACGCTTTTGTTGCCACTTAATTAACTTTTATTGTGTCAAAGGGGAAAATCGCTCAAGTCAGCGCACACAACGCCAAGCCCATGCGACTACCCCGCCCTCCTCGCACTCACTCACCCACACACACACACACACACACACACAAACACACACATAGAGCGGGCAGGATTTGGTTTGCTTTGTGTGTCGTCCACTGTGCTGCTTGGCAACTTTTTGTATAGTTTTTCGATGACTAATTAATAGCGGGCAGGACTCACACACACACACACACACAGACACAAACACAGGTGCACACACAAGCTCATGTATAGGGGCGGACGAAGGGCGGCATATCGATCTTGGGTTATTATTATCGATAAATGCATGACGTTGGCAAAAATGTAATATGCATTCGTTTGACGTGTTTGTTCGTGCCTGAGTGTGTCTGTCTGTGTGCGTGTGTGTGTGCGTGTGTGTCTGTCAGTGTGCAGCAAATTCAGTTCAAGGCAACGGTTCCATTGCCGCCATTGCCTGTGCAATCGCCCCTCTCCCCCCCCCCCCCCCCCCTCTAACGGTCAATTTATTTGATTGCCAGCCACTGACTTTTGCCTATTGCTTTCTCCTCTCTCCTCTTTTTTTCTCCCACTATCGTCCCAGCTCCGTTCCAGCTGACTGAGCAGCATAAGCATAAAAACAACAACGACAACAACAGCAAGAAAGATGCACTCGCTGCCGCTGCTGTTGCTGCTCAGCACGCTGCCGGCGCTGACGCTGACTGAGAATGCAACGCTAGCGTATCCGCCGGCGGCTGATGCCGGCGTTCTGGGCAGCCCAACCAGCTTCAGCTCGAGCACAGCAGCGCCGCAGCTGGGCAATGACAATGACAACTTGACCGCCAGCAGCAGCAGCAACAACAACAACAACAACAACAACAACAATAGCAACAACGACGCCAGCTATGAGCAGACCTACAGCAACAGCAGCATCAGCAGCAGCAGCAGCAGCAGCAATGCAGCAGCAGCGACGCCAGCAGCAGAAGCAGCTACTACAACGACAACAACAACGACAACAACGACAACAACAAGCAGCGCAGCAGCCACTTTGGCGGCCATTGAGCAGTCGCAGCAGCAGCAGCAGGAGACTACATCCAGCATCAGCGTCGGCGTCGGCGTTGGCTTTAATGTCGCTGTTGCAGCTCTGCCGCCCAATGGCACTGGCAGCAGCGCAGCAGAGGTCGCGTTCGCAGCAGCACCAGCGCCAGCAGCGCTGCCGCACGAGATAATTGGCTCGGCCACGCCCAACAAGGGCGAACAGGAGGCGATATTGCGAGCCCTCGACTGGCTAAAGGAGAAGCGCGCCTCCGACTACGGCTGGGGCAACGACACGCACGTGGTCATCCTGGCCAAGGAGCTGTCCGGCGGTCGGGATCCGAACGAGAGCGCCGACGGGCATCTGCTGGTCATACAGGAGCTGGAGGACACGCTGTCCGTCAAGGAGATGGAAATCGAAATACTGGCCATGCTGGATCGCCATCATACGCTGCCCAAGCCGCTAAATCTGGACAAGCTGGCCCGCTATGTGCTGGCGCTGGGCTCGCTGTGCAAGGATCCCAAGCATTTCCATGGACACGATCTGGTCGCGACGCTGCAGCACCATGAGCCCGCCCAGGACATTGAGTTCGCCCTGACCACGCTGTCCGCCTGCAGCTCGGCGGCGCATGTGCGCAAGCGCCAGATACGCCGCCTCCTGGACATCGCCAGCGGCGTCACGGATCAGAGCGTCGATGCCATCGCCATGGTGATACTGGCGCTGCGCTGCATTGTCACCGATCATCGGCATCGGCACTTGCAGCACTTTGTGCGGCGGCCGGCGCGCGGCTTGGCCAGCCTGCAGGATCAGCGCGGCAGCTTTGGTTCGTTGCGCAGCACCGCGTTGGCCATGCAGGCGCTGCAGGATCTGGAATATGATCCGGCTGGGCATTGGAATCGGACGGCCGCCTCGCGCTACATACTCAGCCGGCAGCGCGCCGACGGCGGCTGGAGCGAGGAGCCGCTGCAGGATGGCCAGGAGCCGGACATTGGCGTTGGCCTCACCGCCGACATCATTCTGGCACTCGGCTGGAAGGGTCTCGGCGCCGTGCGCGCCCTCCAGTGCGACCATGTCATACGCGAGAGCAGCGATCCCACAGGTAATCCCCTTGCCGCCCTACCAAGTCGCATTCCAACTCAGCAGCTGTCCACTTTCCATGCAGAGAACGGCGAACCAAAGCTGGCAGTGCCCTTCGGACTCAGCTCCTCGGCGGAGGAGTCGGATACCAAGAACATCTCGTACACCTACACACTGTGGGTCGGCTCCAATGTGACCGAGGCCTTCTCGCTGTCCCTGATCTCGCCCAAGAACACCAGCTTCTTCAAGGCCATGACACAGGCAGCCGAAATGGATCCCAGGTGAGGGCCAAGCTCTATACAAAAAAAAAAAAAAAAAGAGAGAGCAAAACTTTATTAAATGATTCCTTTTCGTGCAGATTCATGTTCGAGGCGCGCGAATGGCCCAACGGACACTATGTGCACACGCTCTACGGCAAGAACGAAGAGCCGCGAGGGTAAGCCTGCACAGTTATTAATCCGGGTTAACAGTTCCAATGATCATATGCCACACAGATATCACTACTGGCTGCTCTACCGGCTGCCCGAGTTGCCCGATCCGAACAATACGCCTGGGAATCAGCTTATTGCGCCTGTTGGTCAGTCAACCAATCGGAAATGTTCCATTTTAGCCGAGAATACAAATTAAACTTGGAATCTATATTTTGACAGGTGTGGATGAGCTAATGGTCGAGGATGGGGAGCACTATCTATATTGGTATAAGAAACTTTAAGCACGCACATATGGATTTGCCGGCCTTAGTCACTAAACTAAAGTTAAGCCACGAGGAGAGGAGGGGAGGGGAGGGGATGCAGCAGCCCGTGCTGCAAGGATAACCACACAGATAGCAAGGATAACAACTACAAGAGCAGCTGTAACAGCTGCCACAACTACAACTGCAACGTGCATGCATATGTGTATGTGGCTCTCTATATACGTACACACACACACACACACACACACACACACGCACACATGCGTACACATGCGTACATATTGCATTATCTATACATACAACTGAAAAATAATGGCGTAATCAAAACTGCATTAATCGACACACACACACACACATTCTACATAGACACGGCTACACTCGTGGTCAAAATATTGTGCACACTAGCACAATCTGCCTTTCAGATGCATATATTTCAAAATCTTTCAATTATATGTTCGAGGTTTTGTTATTTATTTGCACTGTGTTTTCAACATAATGCCAAACAGAGCAGAAAACATAGCTAGAACGGAATGGAAAGATTCGATTTTAGTGAAAATGTGCAACAAGAAACACATAAAATAACTGAAAATGTTTGGACAAACTAAAAAGTACGTCTATGCGGAATATTTAGCTAATCATGCCCTACTTCAATGTTATTCAGATTTCTAGTTTCAGGTCATTGTGGATTTTCGGAGTACCTTGGACTTGAGACTCTACAAGTTCTGTGATTTCGTACCAAGCTGTTTTTTTTGTCTTTTTAGAAAATACCACATTTCGAGCTGCTCTGCTTTCTTCCTCTTTTACTGCAACTCATTCACTAGATTTTGTAAGAATTTATATCTAATATCTAACTTATTGTTTTGTCCAAGCATTTTGATTTATCTATCTTGTTTCACATATTGACTGAAATTTTTATATTTCCTTTAGTTCTCACTATGTTTTCTGTTCTGCTTAGCTTCATGTTGTCCACACAATGCAAGTAAAGGGGAAATCTCGAACATATTTGCCAAAAAAAAAATGTCGTATGCAACTAAAAGTAAGCTGTGATAATGTACTCACTATTTTGACCATCAGTGTACACGCGCACACACGCACACACGCACACACACACATGCATAATATATACAAATATACCCTAACGATAGCTTAACTCTGTGTTTAGGTTCTACTAATCTATAATATGACAAGAAGCAAATCAAAAATAACGATAACAACAAAAAACAAAAGGCTAACAAAGATTACAAATTTACGCACTAATCTGAGGCACGTTTCGTTTTCAGTTGCGCCTGTCAAAGTTGCAGTTAGTTGACAGGCAGTTAAACTTTTTCGCATACGAAATGCTTAAACTTTGCGCAATTCGATAGATTTGAGATATTGTGAATGCAACTCTATTTTCATACTAAATATTTAACTGGCAGATAAATTTGTTTTTACTAGTTAAAATTGAGTTCAAATACTGGCCAACTTTGACTGGAACATGGAAAATACGAGTCCGGAGAGGCTCAAAAGTGCATCTACACATACCTAAACAGACACACACACACATGCACAATAGCTTCAGAAAGCAGCCCAATGGCTATTCGTAGAAAACACTCTATCTCTCTCTCTCTCTCTCTCTCTCTGTCTCTCTGTCATCTGTTGTCGAAACGAATGTTAACAAAAGTGAGGTTAGTTCATTTATTAAAAGTGAGTTTAGTTCATTTATCACTCCGTCCGTTTTGTAGATTGAGAGCGTAATGAGGAGAGGCATGATCCATCAGCGAATTGATGCTACCTGTTGCACACTCACACACACACATAGACACACACAATATGCTTTACATGTTATTTAACTAAGCAACAGAGAAAGAAAAATGCTTAAAGGAATCGCTTAAAAAATAGACAGGCTTTCATGAAGACGAGAGAAAGCGTTTGTCAGTCCAAGCAAGGCATATTATACCAAACACCGTAAGTAACAATAAGTGATTGAAAATCATCCCTAGACATACATGAATATATAAAGCAATGCATATACATATACAGCTAGATATGTGTATATACATATATATATACATATATATACAAAAATATATAAAAATACCAGCATATACATACATAAATATATATACATAAAAAACGAAACTAGTTTTATATGAGATTAAGTCAAGAACGGAAGAAGAAAAACGACAAAGAAAGCAAACGAAAGCCGTGTCCGGATTATATTATACTATATAATTATATGAAAATGAATGAAGCATCATTTAACGTATACTATAAAGAAACAACGCAATGTCTGTCAAACTAAACATTTAACGCTATCATGCTCATATGCCTATCTATACCCTATACACATATACAAATACATAAAGTCTACATATGCATTGCTCATTCAAAGCCAAAAACATACTAACATACCTAATTATATAACCCATACTATCCAAATATAAAAGAAAAAGAAAAGAAATACAAATAAATATTAAAATTTAAATCTCTCTCAACTGCTTGACGCCGCAAAGCAGTTTAAGCTGTGGTCGCAGTTCGCAAGCAGTTCATTTAACAGTCACGCACGCACGCTCGCTCTGTCGCTCTCTCTTCAACCCAGCAAGCAGTTCATTTAACAATCACGCCAACGCTCGCTCGCCCGCTCGCTATCGCTATCGCTCTCTCTTTCTCGCTCTCTCATCTCGAACCTTGCGATTTCAAACGATAAACTTAACCACAAAAATGTCGTAAACCTAACCTAAACAATTTTTAAGTGCAGCTGTGCAAAAACTAACCTAACTTAACTAAAACTTAATGGTTTATATTATAAGCATAAAATTGAGCTTTTTAATTGTGCAAATCCAAGCAAAACAAATACAGAAAACAACTAAAAACCAAAAAAACAAAAAAACTCACTCAATAAATTAGAAAAACCAAAAGATAAGTCCAACGTGCCCACGTTTAGAATCTTATATTCGCCGCAATTAACGAGTCATACGAAAAACTTTGGATAGATGCTTCCAATGCTGCGGAAACTGAACTGCTTGCTGGTTCCTATTCGTGCCTCTCCAAAAGTAAGTCCCAATTCGAAGCGTGAACTGAGCTGATAACAAAAAAGTTGAAGGTTTTCAATTAATATTTGACTTACATATGGGTGCTCCACTGTCGGTTGCGTGTTTTTTTTTTTCCAAAGAATGAAACGGATTTAGCAATATGAATATGAATTGATCAAAGAGTCTGTCTTCCCAATGGAACTGTCGGCATTTCGAAATACTCGACTGGGATATATTGATACATACGAATATATCTGAGCCCAGCACGGAACCCAAACATTCCAGCTCCCTCCGACCTCTGCTTCATCATCTCTTAGCCCCCCTCTATGGGTTATGCGTTCGTGATTAACTTCGGTGTTTATGTTCCAATTTGTACGAAACGTTAAATATAAGTTGATTTTTTACGATGAATTCAAATATTCGAATTCCGTGTATACTATACGAGAAGCTATATACCAAATTTAAGGTAACTAGGTCTCAAAATCGATATTTATCGATATTATGCAAGTGTGGGGAAATATCGAACTGCAACGATTAAGTCGTCAAGTGTGTGGTATACTAGAAGACGTATTCCATATTACAAGCCTCTAAGTCTTGCAGTCCCCCGAGATCGCATAGATCGCTGCGACTGTTGATGCTGATCAAGTATATATATACTTTATAGAGTTATAGTGGTGTCTCCTCAATACATTTGCACAAACCCAACAGATTATGAAAACATGGTAACAACTATATAGTATTTGAGTATTACCCGAAATCGGTTCGAAGAACGACAAGAACTATCAGTTAAAATATGTGAAAATGAATCTGTAAAAGCTAACTTTTAAATCCCAATTAATCAGACCTTTGATTCGGTCACAAGTGAAAACTGACATGAATTGAATAAGGAGAGAAAATAATCTCGATCTGTTCTCTTTCCAGAGCACATTTTCTACAAATCCGCTTCCATTTTTCTTATTTTTTTTTTTTTAAACATAGCGTTTATTTTCAATAGATGTTTGTTCATTTTGCGTAGGTTTAGGTATACAATATAATAATATGATTTATAATTGGATTTGCATTTTTCCTTTTAACAATAATTGCGCATGGCATATAGACAAATACATATATATTTATGAGATTGGAAACACGAATCGTTTCTGATTTATAAAAAAGATGTAAATTTTTAACATTCAATTTCTTTGTATTATTAACGAATTCTCTTTAAAAACCCGAAAAATAATGGAAACTAAAACGAAAATTCTTCGAAAAAGCGTTTTTTTTTCTATCAGTTTTTCTTTTTCTTTGATTTTAGTTTTGTAGAAAAGCAGTTAAATGTGGGGGGGGGGGGGGGGGCTGAAAAAGTTGGCGTAGGAAACGGTTTTAGTTTAGCATCTAATTATTTAGAATAGATGGATTATAATTCTCAACAGGTGCCCGCCGGTGTAAAATTGTATTTTGTTTTTAACTCGGGAGCTAGGCTCCTTTAAATAGTTACATCTGCTAACTGGCCGATTTGCACGAGTCTTACGTTTGTTTCTAATTTTACTTTGCAAAAATAAATAATAAATATAATAGTAGGAAAAAAAAAATATATAGCAAGCTTTAGCATTTCTTTTTTAAAAGGCAATGTGCACAACATATGCATATAGAATATCAGAGAGAAAAAGAGAGAGATATCGTGACATATATAGTATACATGCATATCAAAATAAAAAAAGACGAAAATTATATATGTATATATAAGATAAAGTAGCTTTCAATTTGTCATCGAGCTAATTAGGCAACAATTTCAGTTAACAATTAGTTTTTGCTGCTAGACATCAGTTAGATATGATTTCTATATATATATATATATGCTTTTATATTTATATAGTTCTGTTAGAGAGTTCGAAAAAGGCCGCATAGAGCACACAAAGGCAACAGAGTTACAACATCAAAAACACACGCATACACACACACACACACACACACGCACGCACACATAGCTGCACATACGTGTATATATATATATATAAATATATATGACTTAATAGTACAAATACAAATATATGCATAGATATAGACACACACATGCAACAAAATTGTCAAGTTTTTCTTTAAGTTTGCTTTGCTTAGCTTTTACTTCATTTAAGCTGTTTGGAATCGCATTTCGTATAATCTAGTATTGACGTATGTGTATATATATATATATATATATATATATATATGTTGTGTTATATGTTATTTTCTATATACGTAATGCTGCGGCTTTGTTCTATGTAGCATTTGTATTGGGCCATGGAAACCATGTTGTGTGCTGCACATAATTTGTTCAGTTAACAATAGTTTCAACTGATTAATCTGGCTGGATTACAATTACAAAGGTTGCCTAATATATATACACACACACACACACATATATATATATATATATATATAGGGTCTGCTCTTAGATGGCAAAGCTCAGCTGGAGCGCATTGCGCAGCTCGTTGAGCACCATGGAGCCGATGACCATCTTCTCGCAGTTGACCAGCAGGGTGAGCGCGTCATCCGTTTGCCATTGCAGCGTGAGCAGCACCAGGCTCTTGGAGCTGAGCGTTTGCCCCGCAAAGCAATGCAGCTGCTCCGCCGGCGAGCTGTATGTGTGCGCCACGTTGAGGCACTCGTATACCTTTTGCTTGAGCGCCAACAGATCGACTTGGTCACGCTGCATGCCGCGCAGCTCGCACTGGTGCTCGTTCATGCCGCGCAGCTTGGCACGCTCCTCCCGGTGACAGCTCTCGCCGATTTGGACCGACCGGACCAGCTCGCCCACCGGCGGCTTTAGCTGGACGCGTGCACTGCCGCCGCTGGAGATTAGCTCGAAGTCGATCGCATGCGTTGTATCGTTAAAGTCCACGCCCAGTATGCCGCTCGCCAGCTGCTGGGGCTGCAGCTGTGCTATCGGGGCAAATTCACTGAGCAGCATGCCCGGCGGCAGCTGCTGCTGGCCCATGCGTATGCTGGTCAGCTCCTGGTCGCTGCGATTCTGAAACTGCAGCTCAATGGAGCACATGGCCGACGAGTAGAGATGCGGTGCTCGTGTGAAGCGATACGAGAGCTGCAAGCCATGTCCGCTGACCTTGTTCAGCAGCTCCTTGTGCTTGAATTCCGTGTGCGAGGGTCCAACCAATTCGATCCGATTGCGCGCCTGCTGCGGCTGCAAAGTAGCCTGGCCAGGCATCATCGGTGTGCCTGCAAATAGTTGATGCATGAGTATAAGTTGTGGCAAGAGCGTAGAACGAAGAGAGCTTTAACTGAGCTTGTATTATTATGTTAAGTTGAGTTTTAAGTAGAGCTTTAAGCGGCCTTTATTGCAATAATTAGAGCCTCGAGCGAGCTTTAGTGTATTACATAGAGCTTTAGGCGGTCTTTGTTGCATTAAATAGAGATTTTAGTGTATTAAATAGAGCTTACATCGAGCTTTATTGCATTAAATACAGCTTTAAGCGAGCTTTAATCAATTAAATAGAGCTTACATCGAGCTTTATGGCATTAAATAGAGCTTTAAGCGAGCTTTGTTGTATTAAATAGAGCTTAAAGCGACCTTTATTGCATTAAATACAGCTTTAAGCGAGCTTTAATCAATTAAATAGAGCTTTAAGCGAGCTTTGATTGTAATTAATAGAGCTTTAAGCGAGCTTTGATTGTATTAAATAGAGCTTAAATCTTAATAAATAAAGATTTAACAGCTGCTGCAAAAAACGCTATCAAATAAATAGGAAGTTTTAAGCGAGCTTTAATATTTTATTTTGCTAAAAAGAATTCACAGATCTCTATTCATTTCTCACTTTTACCCATTATAGAAATTTTATTGCTAGACTTGTTTTAAACTTAAAGCTCAATTTAAAATATATTTCTTTAAAGTTCCGCCCTGCTTTCAATTCCTCTCTCTCTCTCTCTCTCCCTCCCTCTCTCTCTTTCCCTGTCTCTTTTATTTTAATATACATTCTTTTGCATCAAACGCACGAGTTTCTCATTTTTTCAAAATATCTTATTCTCCCAATATCGGTAAATATCGAAACGACAGCTCGGCTTAGATTCGGGGTATCTACCAGATGGAATGTGAGCTTACCTGGCGTTAGGAATCCACCCAGCGAGGGCGTCATCACAGGCCCAATGGGCGGTATATCGTCCAGATCGAGCAGCAGATCCAGACTGCTTTTGGCTGGCGGCTGCGGTTCCGGCTGAGACGACGGCTGCTGCTTCTGCTCAGCCGAATCCTTTGGCTTGTGCTTCTGCTGCTGCTGCTGCTGCTGCTGCTGCTCGCTGTCGCTGCCCGAATCGCTGCTGTCGCCGTCGCTGCCGCTGTAGAGCGAGGACTCGCCGCTGTCCGAGGTGCCCGAATCGGCAACAGCATTGTTGTTGAGATTATGGCCCGTTGCGGAACTGGCGCCGGCGGCAGCATCGGTCGAATTGCCACTGGTCTCATCGATCAGCTTGGGCGCCGCACTGGCAGCCTTTGGTGTCTTGTCTTGTGCCGGTTTGATCTGATCCTCCTGTTCGCTGTCGCTGCCGGATGAGCTGTCGCTGCTGGAGTCGCTGCTGCTGCCGCTGGACTCGGTGTAGGCGGATGACTTCTCCGACTCGGATAGGAAGCCCTTTTCGCGCGCCTCCTTGCCAGCGCCCTTGGCTGAGGAGGACTTGCTGCGGGCGGGACTCTCGCCGGGCAGCTTCTCCTGCATGTAGCCGGCAATGTTGCGCACACTGGCATCGGGTGCGACGACGGGAAATGCGGGCAGTTCTTTGTAGCCGGTCGCTTGCATATTTAGATAGTGCGATAGAGAGCCAAGCTGATAGATATTGCTGTCACGGTATTTGCTTTCCGGCACGGGTGCCGGCTTGGCAGCCAGAAACACCTGACGTGCGTGCTCCGTGAGCACAGTGGTGCCGCCGCTGGCGGGGAAGATGAACTGGCGCAGAAAACGCGCCCGATCGCGGACATCATAGTTGGTATCGTAGCGGGCCAGCGTGAACACGTACTGGCAGAGCAGCGACGTCTGCGCCGGATTGGTCAGATAGAGCTTGACGCCCAGATTGAGCACCTGCAGCTTGACCACATCCTGCTCATCCACAAACGATTTGGCCATCTTCCGCAGCACATCTGGCGCGATAAGCGGCACCTTCTCATTGTATTCGCCAATTAGCCAAATGATTGCCGCACGCGCAGCCGCCACATTGATGTAGTCAATCAGCTTGGCCATCTGGGTGATAATCTCGTAGTGCTCGGCGGCCTTGCTCTGCAGCAGCTTCTTGATGACCACCACGCTCTCGGCGACCACGTGCTCTGTGTGGAAAACAAGAGACCGAATTAAAGATAAGACACACCGGCGACATATCCGTATATATAGTTACCATCATGATTGGAGAGTAGATGCACTAGACCGCTGAGGCAAGTCTCGGTGACCGCCTTGATGCTGGCTGCACAGCGTCCGATGGCCTGAATGGTGGCCGCCACGAACGGACGATCGTTGCTGGAGATGTAGGTCTGGAATTCGCGCAAGATGAGCGAGATGCTCGAGGCGGACGCCAGATTTGTGAGTATGTCCAGCTTGAGTAGCTTGATGTGCGTGGGATCGCTGGTGCGCACAAAGAACGACTTGAGATGCGGCTCAAAGATGACCTTGCGTCGCCCCGACATGGACGCAATGCAATTGAGCACCACGCTCTGCACCTCCTTGTGCGAACGCAACAGCCGTATGAGAGCCTTGGCTATTAGCTGCACCTCATTGCGAGGCGCCACATGATGGTAGAGCTGGGCCACGGCCATCACAACTGAAGCATTGCGTGACTGCAGCAGCGGCTTGGTCTGGCGCAGCAGCAGGCGATGATCCAGGTCGATGTGGTAATTGTTGCTGCTATTCTCATTGTCTTTGTCATTGTTGTTGCTGTTGTTGTTGCTCGACTTGGCCTTGGCCTTGCCCTTGGCCGTGGCTGTGCCTGTCGCTGTGGCCTCGTCCTCGCTGGTGGCATTCGCATCGCTGCTGGAATTTGAGGACTCATCATAGAAGCGCTCATTGGGGGGCGCATCCGCGTCCAGAGCCTCATTCTGGCCCGGCTCCTCGTCCGCATTGGGATCAACGAACTGGGTGCGTGCATAGCGCGTCAACATATTGATGATAATCACCTGGCCCCATTCATCCACATCCACGAGCAGATTGCACAGCTTGCGATAGTTCTTGTGTATTAGATCCACGCGTTCCGGGCAAACCTGACGAATTCGAAATCAATTGTAAATCGCAAATGTGCGTCAGTTGGAGCACTCTTACCTCATCAAAGGCCATGACGGCAGAGCCCACCACGAGCGTGGTGCGATCCGAGAGGAGCTTCTCAATGACCGTGACCAGCTCGTCCTTCTGCTCGGCGTCCAGCGAGTACAGCTTGGGTATGGCATGCGCTGCCGTCTTGCGCACATATGCACTCAGATCGGCGGCGCTGTCCCGGATCGCCAGCATAACAATGGGCACAATCATGCTGACCCGTATGGAAGAGAGGACGCGCAATGCTGAGGCGCGTATTAACTGATTGGGATCCTTCAGTGCGCGCTGGAATGTTGATATGGAGAGCAGTGCCAAATCCTGCTGCTCCTCGGCATAGCGCACCAAATAGACATACACCAGTTTCTTCACCTCAATATTCTTGGACACGACATTCTTGACGACAGCCGGAAACAGATCGCTGGCATCGCGTCCGCGCGCTATCATCCCAATGATGCGCTTCATCGCCTCCAGCTTGAGGCCGTCCTTATTGCTGTCCAGCATCTGCTTGAGGTCGTCATGCTTGCGGCCATCGCTCTGAAAGAATGCGGCACCGCTGGCCGGATCGGCGCCGAACTCCACGTCCAGCCCTATTTGGGGTCGATCGCCATAGGCGGCCACCGAAAACGGATTGCTTGCTGCGTTCTGTTGCATCTTGCGGGGGATCACAATTCAAATTGCAGATTCAATTGTTCTTGTTCTTGTATTCTCTGCTATTTTCTGCAGTGCAGTGCGTGTCTGTGTGTGAGTGTGAGTGTGTGTGTGTGTGTGGGGGGGGGGGGGGGGTGGCGTGCGAAAACGGTGAAAGCGTCGTCTGAAACCTGCTGATACACTGTTACACTTCACTTGGCAACGCACGGCGAATTCGTTTACATCAATTGGCAATAGTTTGTCATATCTGACACTGGACGACACACGACACACTGGCACTGCAAAATCTGTGTTACTACTCGATAACAAGTGTCCACGAGTACGATTACGGTATCGATAACAGTCGATTGTCTGCTTTTTCATTTTCATGTTCCCACTATGAATACATTTAGAAAGCATGGTATCGACTATCGAATAGGGTCAGCGTTTATGACACGGAACAAGCTAAAATTTTCCTTTAATTTATTTTTTTAATTCTTTTAGTTACGAACAACGATACAATTATTTTAATCTGATTAAATAGTTTGTTAATTATTTCATTGTATATACATAGATATTGTTTATTATTGAGCAATCAATTTTCCCAGTTTCGGCAGCAAAGGCTGCCTTGTAATCATGTAATCGTAATCAAACATATGGAACATGTAGAAGTATCGACATAAAATTCACAGATGCATCGAGTAGAAAGCTGCCAGTGGAAACATTTGTTTTGTCTGCTCCGCTTATCGTCAACAAAGTATCGATTATCGATGCAGGCTGAGCAGCAACAACAACAATAGCCGCCGTGTGGTTGTTAAAGCAGACCAGACTAAGCCAGTGCCGCTGTCACGTCAATTAATGGACAACTAATATTAAATAGAACAGAAATTAACTCTGGCTAGTAAGATGAACTTCCCGCTGTCGAATGCCAACAAGGATACGCTGCGAGCGGCCTGCAAGAAGTGCGGCTACGCAGGTCACCTGACTTACCAATGCCGCAATTTTCTCAAGGTAAAGCAAAAGCCGCAAAGCAAAACCAAATACAAAAATAAAATAAAATCTGAGCATAACACGCGTTACGTACGTCACCTAGGTGGATCCCAACAAAGAAATACTGCTCGATGTGGAAAGCACCAGCTCGGACTCGGAACTCGACTACTTGACACCGCTAACAGAGCTGCGGGCCCAGGAGCTCAAAGGCGCCGGCGGCGGTGGGGGCGACATTGTACCAGCTGCAGCGGCAGCAGCAGCAGCAGCAGCAACAACAAAAACAACTGCAAGCAAGCCAGATAAGAAAAGCAGCAACAAATTAAGTAGCAGCAAACGCAGCAGCAGCAGCAGCAAAACAGGCGTCACCTCAGCGACAAAGCACACAAAAACCGAACGGCACAAGAAGCGCAAGAGAAAGAGCAAGAAGCACAAGGAGGTGAAGATAAAGGCCAGCAGCAAGGAGTTGGCCAAAAAGCATAAGAATAAACGCAGCAGCAAGAAATCAAAGCGTCGTCGAGCTGCCAGCACCAGCAGCAGCAGTTCCAGCAGTAGCTCATCCACATCCACATCGGACAGCGACTCGTCGAGCTCTGATTTGTCCAGCAGCGATACAGAATCGGATTCCAGCGACAACGAAGAGTCCAGCACCAGTGAGTCGGATGAGTACGGACGCAAAAAGAAGCGTCAGGGCAAATACAAACGCAAAGCGGAGACGTCAGCGCCGCGCCGCAAAAAGGCAAAGGCCAAACGCAAGCGACATCGTGTCGGCGGCGGCGGCGCCAGCGGCGCCGGCAATGGACCAGGCGCCAGCAATTACCTCAGCAGCCTCAGCGATAGCAGCACCAACTAGCAACGACTACCCAAAGCACTTTATGGCATTTAGTTTGTTTAACATATTAGTTAAAAGGAAAACAAAAGAGAGGACGAGTTGAAAATAGAGCAACCTAGGCTAGTTATATACGATATATAAATACATATATTACATCTAAAGCCAATGTGAGCACACCTGGCGGGCAGTCCAGCTAAACTGCGCTTCCTCAATTGACAGCAGACTGTTCCCACACACACACAAGCACACACACACACACCCTCACAGACACACACACATTTAGACTTGTCTTAGTGTTAAGTTAACGATCCTCCTAAAAATGTTTCCATTATTTGCAAATACAACAAATTAGAATGTACAAATTTGTTTAATACATAAATCTACATCTACATATGTATGTATGTTGTTCTGTTAATCTGGATGGGCTACTTTTGCGCAAATAACCAATCGTTCCTATAGCAGCTACATATATGATATAGTGAACAGGAGAAAAGTTTCATTGAGATAGCTTTAAGAGCACAAAACCAATGGACGCCCATGAATTGAACGACTCAGCCTGCAAAAAGGCCACTTTCTTGAAGATTTTATTGTCTTTTTAATTTTGTTTCAGAAATCAAACCAAGTCCACAACTCTTATATTAAAATATGAACGTCATGTAACTTTTGAGTAGAGTGGACAGTTATTAATCAAACATTAAACGGTATATGCACTAGCTGGCAAGCAAAACATAGCAGCTCTGACGTCACGCGCTTGCCATGTGAAGAATGGACAGTTATAAATTGAAGATTTAACTGTATATGCGCCAGCTGGCAAGCAAGACTTAGCAGCTGTGACGTCACGCGCTTGCCATGTGCGACCAATTGCTTGGCGCTACCTTTTCGAGCAAATCATAAAGCATGAGTGGAGTTAATCTGTTTGGTTTCCATTTTTTTTTGATGAACTGCATCAAAATTTATTTGCATGATGGAATGCGTTGGTCCAAAATGTGTTTTTTTTATACATATGCGTCGATTACTAACTATGACAATTTAGTATCCAACTTATGACGTAGATAACACTTAACTAAACGTGCACACACACACTCACACACACACATATATATATATATATATATATGTACATATATATATATAACAGACGATAAATAGATACAAATATAATACACGAATAGTCACTGATCAAATTAACAATGCCTAATCTTTTAGAGCGGCGAGGATGCAGTTGTCGGAGCAGTCGATATATTAGCTGGTATAATGGTGCCGCTGGTCGTATAATTGAGCAGAGCGGTCTGCAGCGCGGAGAGGCGGCGCTCCAGTCCAGAAATCTTGGTCAAATACTGTTCACAATTGCCGCAATTGCCGGCAGCGTATGGAGGATTGGCGCCAATGTTGGCCACGGCTGTGGCGGCAGTGTTGCCCTGGTTGGACATGGCCGTGAGGAGCGCTGCATTCTGCAGCTTCAGTTCATTGTTTTGGGCGAGCAGCTCCTCGCAGAGGGCACAAGTGGAGGCGCGCAGATCGGCGAGTGCCTGCTCCTTGGCTTTGAGGCTCTTCATAAGCGAACGATTCTCCTTTTTAAAGTCGAGCAGCTTCTGCTCGAGCTCAAGGAGCTCATCCTCGTTATCGGTGATGCCGCGCGTTGTGTCCAGGCTGTCGCTGAACTGTTGTATGCTGTTGTTGTTCGCCAATCGGCTCATCGCCTGCAATATGGTGTCCATTTTCTTGGACTCATTGTGGTCGGCCGCGACAGAGACAGAGTTAGAGTCGCCGCCGTCATTGAACGGGACATTGCTGCTGCTGGCCAGACGGCACATTGCCTGCAATATGGTGTCCATCTTCTTGTCCATGGCATGCCCAGTGGCACGCTGCTCATCGAGATAGACCTCCAGCTTGCTGGTGGGCGACGCGGTCAATACATTCGGCGGTGCTATGGCCAGCGATACGGCACTGCTGCTGACTGCCAGCGGCATTAACGAATTGTTGGCTGGACGCGCGCGATGTGTGGTAATGATGTCCTCGTTGGACTGCGTGGACTCGCTTTCGCTGTCGTAACTGGTTGGCACTGTGGTCGGCTCAGCTGATGATGTAGCCGAGATTTGATGACGCGGCAACGGCTGTGGCAGTGTGGTCGATATTGGCGGCGGCGTGCTAGCGTTCGCCTTGCTGGCCTGCGCCTCGTTGCGCATCTCCTCGATGGGCAGACCCAGCTTGATCAGCGCATCGGTAAACTCCTCCTCATCCTTGGACAGCTCAAAGCGCAGACTCCAGAAGCGCTGCTCATCATCGTAGAACTGCATATACGATTCACGCAATATCACATTCGATGGACCGGCACGGGGCGACGATGATTGTGTCGATTTGGTCAGCAGCAGGGTGCTCAGCAGCTGGGTGCGGCTCTTGTAGACAACCAGCTTGGCGGCGCCAGCGCCATTGCGTGACAGCGCCACGCCCACACGTCCCACATTATCACTGCCATTGTAGCCCTGCGCCACCTTGGCCACAACAGTATTCCAGCTCTCGACGGTCATCAGTCCGTGCTTGTTGCGCGGCACTGAGGAATGTATTTTTGATTTGTGCTTTTGTTGTTGCTGCTGTTGCTGTTGCTGCTGCTGTTGCTGCTGCTGTTGCTGTTGTTGTTGTTGTTGCTGCTGCTGCTTGTTGGTTGACTGCGGTTGATAGCGCAAATTGCTGGTTTCGTTTTGCAGCGGCTTGTCATCGTCCTCGAAAATCTGGCGCAGATTACGGGGGCCCTCAGTGCTGCAATTGGCCAGAATTAAGCCGTTTTTATTTGGCTTATATTGTGCGGCTGTACTCACCTGTGCAGCTTCTCAAAAAAGTCCTGATAGTTGTCGCGCCCAAATTCCATTTTAATTTTGCTCCCTCTCAGCTCTGCTCTATATCGAATAGGTTTACTATTTGAAAATGTTTTGCTTCGTTTCACTGCCCAAAAGTCGGCCTGATCTGGCAGCGCCTGCTATGTCAAGCACAGCTGTTTGCAGGGCACACTGTTTTTAGTATATTCTGCATGGGGTATTTTTTGGTTGCAAATATTTGAATTTTTCAGTGCTTGAAAACGCGCAAGGACAACAAAATACACGTAAATGCTGGTAAATTGCGTACCGTTAGTTTGCAAAAGTTGAATATTAGTGAAAATGCAAGGCTTGAACTAAAATTATTAAAAAGTAATTAAAGCCATTCTGGTTATAGTCATAAAAAGAGATTGACAAAAACTGTTGACGGAATTATGTATATATAAATACAAAAATTAAGTGCAATTTTGAAAATACAACCGCCATTAAAATATTGAATTTGCGTTAATTTATTTTATAACATTTATATATTTAATAGTTTGTTTTAAATATAGTTCTACTTGAGCTTAAAATTATGCCGTCACAACACGAAACTGTCCAAGATTATTTGTTTAGGGCTTAGAATTAATTATTAAGATTTGAATGGCTTGAACAATAAATGCAACATAGATGCAAAAAAAAAAAAAAAAAACTAAATATATACGTTTCTATCACTAAATGAGTAACAATTAACAATTATCCTAGAAAGCTTTACAATATATAACTTAAAGATCGAACGATAAAATGTTGAAAGCGGACACTTCACTTCACATAAAAACTGTTGGGGTCTCGCATTGACTCGTCTGTAAATAGAGAATATGAGAGAATGCAAAATCTAAATTTGTTTGTATTTGTACTGAGAAACTAACTCAACTCATGCGGCAATCTAATCCTTCTGGTTTTGACCGACCCGTTTCTGATTCGGCGCCGGCAGCGGCGGAAAATTTGCCGTATATAGCTTCGAATCGTCACACACTGGCGCCGTCACCTGACCCGACTGTGACGAAGATGATGACGCCGATGACAACGGCAGCGACGGCAGCGGCAGCGACGGCAGCGGCAGCGGAGGCGGCGGCGGCGGTGGTGGTGGGGGCGGCGTCAGCTTCATTGTTTGTGCTGCAGCTAATTCCGGCTCTTGATACTAGGAAGTAATCAAAACAGTAGATTCAATGTGTGCTTCAGTGGCCCAAGGAGCTCAACGTACCTGCGGCATGGCGACTGTCTGCCAGTTGTCAATGTGTCCATTCGCTTGAAACGTGTCCGACGGCGACGGCGGCGGTGGCGGTGGCGGCGGCGGCGGCAGCGGAGGTGGCGCCGTAAGACCCGCCGGCGGATAGAGACTGCGCCTATAACGTCTGCCCATGGGCATCTCAAAGAAACGTTCGCCGTGTATAGCATACATTTGGGCTGCGTCCAGATCCTCCTGTGACATGTTCACCGTGACCAGCTCCAGGTTGCCCATGTTGCTGCTGCTGTTGGGGCTATTGCTGGCGTGCGGGTGTATGTTGCCGCTGTGATAGCGCCCGTTGCAGCAGCAATGCTTGCAATATTTGCGCGCCGCATTGTTGCTGTTGTTGTTGCTGTTGCTGTTGTTGTTGCTGTTGGTGTAACTGTTGGCCTTGTAGAAGCGACCGGGATAGAAATGTGGGCGTGGCTTGGGCGGCCTGTACTGCTGCCACTGCCAGGGCTGCTGCTGCTGCTGCTGCGGCTTCTGCTGTGCTTGATTTTGATTTATGTAGCTGTAGCGCACGTGCGTCTGCTGCGGCGGCAACTGTTGCTGCTGTGCATGTTGCTGCTGCACCACCTGATACTGCATTGTGCGCGTACTGCCCCGTGCATTATAATTAACATAGCTTCTGTTGATGTAGCGCGGATTATTGCTGTTGCGCATGTAAATATTGCCATTGCTGCTTGCGGCTGCTGTTGTTCCAGTTGCCATCGCACCCGCACCCGCCCCCGCCCCCGCCGCCGACGCTGCCGCTGCCGCCGCTGCTGCTGCTGCCATTTGCGGGGCATACTCCGATGATGGCACCGACACGGGCACATAGAAGCCGCACAGACGCGACGCGGCCATCACAGCTCGACTGCGCTGATCCCAGCTAGTTTCAGGCAATTGCTGCTGCTGCTGCTGCTGCTGCTGCTGCTGGTGGTGCTGCTGCTGGTGGTGGAGCTGCAGCTGCGGCTCCATGACGCTCCAGATGCTGCCGTTTTGATTGTTGCCCCAGTTGGACCAGTGGTCATTGCTGTTGATGTTCTCCCAATGGTTGTTGCGCTTCCAAATGCATTTGATGCTCTCCACAATGCTGTTCGGATTCGTATCGATGTGGGCGGCTGCGACGCCAACACCAGCCCCCGCACCAGCCCCGCCGGGATCGTATGCATCGCATTGCTGGCGCTGATGCTGCCAGGGCAGCCACATGTCCACAGCGGATGGACGCAAGCAATGGCCATTGTCGAGCTGCTGCGACTGTTGCGACTGTTGCGACTGTTGCTCCGACTGCTCGCGATCATTCTTGGACCGGGCCTCATAGCCAATGGGCTTCAAGCAGCTGTCCGGCATGGCAACAGCGAGATTGGGCAGACTGCCAACGGCGACCGGCTCGTCATTGTTGAGGTAACTTATCTGATAGGGATTCGGCCAGAATTCATAGGATGGTATATTGCCGCCGGTGCTGGGGCTGCCCGTTATCAACGGCCCGAACGCGGTATTCTGGAGCATGGTCAGCGTGAGGCTGGCCAGCTCCTGGTAAGGTGTATTGATGGCAAAACGTGTCAGCAGCTCGTTAACTGATAGATCCATCTGCTCCTCGCCGGCTGACTCCAAATGCCTAACATTTGGCATGGGCTCGGGGGATGCGTGCTCATCTGTGTGCTCCCGTGCGCTGCTGCTGCTGCTGTTCGAACTGCTAGCTGACATGGCTGATTCCGGCGGAGGTGGTGGAGGTGGCGGCGGCGGGGGAGGTGGCGGAGGTGGTGGAGTTGGGGGAGGTGGCGTCTCCATATCGACTGCTGGGTCAATGCTGCAGGCGCTGGCATACGAAACGGTCGGTGAGATTTGTGGAGTGCTCGTCGATTTCAGACGCTGTCCCTGTCGCTCGCTGAGACGGTCCAGATCCATGAAGTTGCCCAGAGTCAGCGGCACATTGCGATGATAATAGCACTCGAGATCACGATCAATTGCCGGCACTGAGCAGGATCCAAAATGCATGCGGCGATTATCTAAATATAAAATTAAGACGAATTAATAATGTGCATTTGTAATTCGAGTTGAATGTATTTGCACAAAATTCAAAGCTCACTCAATAAAAAGCAACAACAACAACAACAACAACAACAAAAATGAAGGGGAGCTTCAGCAAATGTCTTCTTATCAGCAGCCAAAAGTTTATTCAATACTCAACTGAATTCAAGCTAGATAACAATAATAAACTAAATTGTAAAATAACATCTTGAAACAATTGTTTTTTGATAGCTCTTCGTTGTGTTTGTTTTGTGTAGCTTGATATTTTTGGAGGTTATGCTGTTTTTCACGAAGCACGTGTTGTTTATTGTTTTTTTTTTTTTTGTTTTTTTGGTGTATTTTTAACGAATTTTGTTGTGCACTTTTTTCGGTATTTTTTGTATTTTTTTATTTTGTATTTTAATTTAAATCGTTTCGATTAGTTATCAGTTTTGGTTTTGTTTATTTAGTTTTTGGCAATTTCTTTGTTTGTGGGCGGCAAGCACATAATACTGTAGTTGGCTAAAATGGCATTTGGATGGGAGTCGACGCCGGACGACGTCAAGACCGGCACAAAGCAGACACGCTCACTGTTTCCAGCTAATGCCAACAGCTGCGACATTGCGCTTCTGGTTTGGCATATCTTTTTCGCGTCGGGTCGCCTGGACGTTATACGCAAGAGAGTCGATGCACGAGCAGGGAGAGACACACACACACACACACAGAGAGAGAGAGAGAGAGAGAGCGAGAGAGAGAGAGAGAGAGCACGAGAGAGGGTAAGGGTAATGGTAATGGTAATGGAAATCAGCTGACTTAAGCTTGAGATCGTTACGATTCGGTTTGAGCTTATTTAACGGACTGAGAGAGATGCGTTGCATAATATACGCAATTTGTTGTCTCGGTAGACGTTCGGTTTTCGTGGAGGTATGCAAAAAGAATGATTGGCTTGCGTGAAAAGGCCTTAAGCCGGGCAGTTTGTTTATGCGCTGCACATTTGTTTAAAAACTCGGTTGGTATTTGTTTATGCGGCGGCGGCATATGACGCCTATGCCAGACGCCGACGTCAGCCGCAGTTACTCACCACATGCTGTTCCCGTCCCGTCTTGCTGCTGCTGCTGCTGTTGCTGCTGTTGCTGCTGCGGCTTGGACTTGCAGCCACCCTTCGCAATGGCCTTGATTGGCAGCTGTGTTGACATGGACTTCTTGGCTGCTATCGGTATCTAAAATGTGGCTCAAGCTCATATGGTTTGCCCGGCAAACTGACCCGCATCAATTACCTTTTTATTTGTTGATGTTAGCTCCAGTTCGTCAACTTCTTCAGCTTCAGCTTCAGCTTCACTCTCAACGTCAACGTCAACGTCGACGCCAGTTTCGCTGTCCGTGTCGGTATGATAATAGATTTGCCCAATACGATTAAATAATTGCACCTTCTTTCTTTTACGCTGTCGCTTGGTCAAATATTTCATTTTTCTGTCACTTCGCCACAATTCGCACTCTCAATTGTATTCAAATATTTTGGCCGCTGACAACGACAATATCAGTGTGGCCGACCGCACTCAAAAATGATCCAATTCCACATAGTTGCAGAAGAAAAAATACCATAAAGTATATTTTTGATATACTGCGCTGGAGAGTTAGCGAGCACACGTTAAAGCTTTAAGCTTCAACTGTTAAGGTTGCCAGATCAGGTCAGCCAGAACAAATTCAATTGAAACATATTATTTACATGCATACAAATTACAAATAAAATTAGCGCTTCTAAATGTATACAAATTTGCATTATGAATGAAGCGGATCAGCTAACCACAGCTCAAAGCCAGCTTAGTTGTTTATTGCAAGACTTGTACAAGTAGATTGCCATGAATATAGATTCATGCTTAACAACTGCAGTTAGTTAATCAACTGCGCACTAAAAGTGTCGTTATAAAATTTTAATAAATATTAATTTTTAATTTTCAACCAGTCTGGCCTAAAACATATCGATATATTTTTTTTGTTCTACCTGGTAGCAACGCAATTGTTTAATTGCGCAGTGCTGCCAGACAAACCGTAGACAACAGCTGGGTTCTGGCCGCGAATTTGTGAAGAATTTTAAAGAACTTGCGGCATTTGTGTTCGGACGCGTTAACTGAATTTAGATTGCATGCAAAATGTCTGATGATCCGGACTTTTTATTTGCACTGAAGCTGCAGCAGCAGCTCGATGGCGATATGTCTGACAGCGAGCCCAGCTTAGCGCCCGTAAGTAACAACGCAATTCGCTTTGCCACACTGGCCAGAAAAACGAAAAAATGTTGTATTTTTGAATAGACAAAGATGACAGAAAACTCTGGTCAAGGCGATTCTGACTTTCAGCTGGCGCTGAAGCTGCAAGCCGAAATGAATGCCGCGGATGCAGACGTCAGCGGCGACGAGAGCGTTGGCAATGTCAGCATCATTGCCCTCGACATGAGCAAAACCGGCAAAAACAATAATAAGAAACATTCAAACAAGAAGCCACCACCACGCGTAAGTATAAAGTCTATCCATATCATATTACACAGCTGCTCATCTAACTTACCTAACGCTGCGCAGCGCGAGCCGAATAAGGAGCTTATGAAGGCGCCCAGCCCGCCGCGAGCTGCTCACGATAACTATCTGGATCAGACGCAGAATCTGGTGCATCCGGGATGGGAACTAGTTGATCCAACACCCGATATATTCGCCATGTTTGTGCGCTTCGATCAGAAGTTTTTCCAGAAACGTCTGGGCGCCGTCGTCGTTGAGTGGAGCAAGCGCATGTATTCCTGTGCGGGCATTTGCTATCAGCGCGGCAATCGTTTCGTCAAGGAGGTGATCATACGACTCAGTGAGCCGCTGCTAAAGCTGCGTCCACGCAAGGATTTGGTTGAGACCCTGCTGGTAAGTGCCTATGCACACGCATATGTCCTGGTCTATTCATCCATTGCTTGGCTTTGCCCTGCAGCACGAGATGATTCATGCCTATTGCTTTGTGCTAAACATACGCGAGGGCAATGGCGGACATGGGCCGAACTTTAAGCGGATTATGGGCATCATCAACAAAGTGGCTGGCACTAATATAACCGTCTATCATACCTTTCACGATGAGGTGGACGCCTATAAGACGCATATCTGGCGCTGCAATGGCATCTGCCAGTATCACAATCCCTTTCAGGGCTGGGTGAAGCGCACATCGAACCGTGCGCCCGGGCCCAGCGATCAGTGGTGGGGCAAGCATCAGCGCGAGTGTGGCGGCACCTTTGAAAAGAGAAGCGAGCCAGCCAAATCGGCCGCCAAAAAGCCCTCAAAGCCAACGTCCAAGTACACGACCAGGATAAAAAACGAAATCACAGCCGGCGATGATATACGCAAATATTTTGGTAAACCAAGGACCTCGGTTAACCTGCTGCCACAGGTGCAGCCAGCTCTGGGCTTGCCTGGAGCATTTCCGCCCTCCTCTTATCCAGGCGTATCGAGCAAGCCATTTGAAGTCCTGCAGCCGAGCGCTAGCAAGAAGAGGCGCGGCAATATAGTCGGCTTCAAGGATCTCATCGAAGATAGCAGTGAAGAGGAGGGCAAGCGCGTTAACAAAAATAACTCGCTCAACAGCAGTATGGATGGTCAGGGCTACAGCCTGACAAATGGCAATCGCAGTGTCAATTCCGGCCAGGTGCCAAATAATGTTAATCGCAACCATTTGCGCGAGGTGTGGTCCAAGCGATTTGCCAGCGAAACCGCTAAAGCTGTGCCAAAGCCAGTGCCACACAAGCAGGAGAATCCAAAGAAACGTCGTCGCGTTTCCGAAGATCTTGTCAGCTGGGAGTCCTACGATGAGGACGTCATGGTGCGCGACGTTGTCGCGCCCGTCATTAACATTTCAGACAGCGAGGATGACCTGTCGGAGCAGCCGGCACGCCAACCTGTAGCTGCAGCAAACAAGACGCTGCCGCTGCCGCAACCGCAACCGCAACTGAGCAGCCATGAGCGCACCATCAACATCAAGCGCGAGGTCATGGAGGAGGAATCGCTTTATAGCGACGATGATATTGTCATGATCGATGATGAATACGACGATGGGGCAGATGATGCTGGCGATGAACTAAATGCGGCCGCCGAGCTAGCCGATCAGTCCATCATTGATGATTTATTCGGCGAGGATACGCTGCTGCAGGAGTTCCAGCTCGAGAACGATGTGGTGCCATGTAGTTCGCGCTATCAGTACGATGAGGGCAACGATATAACCACTTGTCCCATATGCTTTGAGAAAATGAAACGCTCCGAATTTGCCAATCATCTGGAAGGCTGCAGCATTACCATCAAAGTGCCGCCGCCAACTTTGAACAAGAATTCCCATTTACCTGGCAACAGCAACAGCATCAATAAGCCCAAAGCTACGGCAGCCAAACGCAAGCCACGGACAACACAGCATCAAATACTGAAGAGCTCCGGCTATACAGACGCTGAAATCGCTGCACTAGATCTCAGCTCATCCAGTGATTCGGCCAAGGCCAGTGAGAATGAAATGACACCACGTCAGATACGCCAGCGTAATCTCTATAAGCAGACCAGCGAGTGTCCCAAATGCGGTCAGGAGTTGCTCGGCCATCAAATTGAGGCACATCGAAAGATCTGCAAGCGCAAGTCGCGCTAGGATCATTTCTATACATATATTATACTTGAAACATGCCCCATTATGACAAAATTGCCATGAATGTTATTATTATTTCTAGTTCTAGTTAGTTAGTTGTTTCTGAAGTTCTCGGTTCCGACTGCGGCGGCCCATACAAATATTTTTGTTTTCCTAATTTAAATATTATTATTATATTTTTGTTACTATGAAACTAGTTATAACAGAATTTTTAGTTTATTATACAATATGTCTCGAATATTCATTCATCTGTAACGTGTATGAATACTATTAAGTCGATCCGATTCGCTTTTGCTGTTGTCTGTTCGTTAAATGTATGTCATATCTTGAAAAGCATATATATATGTGTATCACATTTTCATGGATGATGATCAATTTGAGCCTAACTCAAATTTGATTTTAATTATGAACTAAACCATTTTATTCTTATATAAAATAGTTTGCTTCAAATAAAACCTTTTCCCGAAGACTCAGCCATTAGGCATAAATAACTTGTGCCCCAAAAATTGGATTTATCTAACCATGTTTGGTAGCTGCAAATTTTTGGGTAATAACAAAATGTAGCCCGCATATTCTATATGAAAATATCTAAAGCTTGTAATATTTTCGCTAGAACGGGCAATTATAAACTGTAAATTGAATGTTTTATTAAAGTGTTGAAAATGTATTCCGATTGGTTTCCTTTTTTTTTCCTAATTTTTTATAGTCCATCGTGCAACACAATACACAATTGTGTGCGAAAAAAGCGTGAAATACTAAAAGATGGCGAAGAGTCTACATCCGGCTTTATATATTCCAAGAGAGATCTGTTTCGACTTAGTTATTGGGTTTATACTTTAATGGAACGAACTCTATGGAATATCAGTTTACAAGGCATATGTACAGGTATTTTGGTAATATTGCTTTCGAGCTTATAAGAGTCTGCCAAAGTAGAGCAGATTGGGCTTGTGGGAATAGCGTGTCGCCAGCGCTGGCCAATGGACGACAAACATGTCCACCAGTGGCAACAGGAGGCGGCCGCTCAGCGAGAGCGTTTCGACCCGACAATAGCTCTCCACAAACACGATCTTGCTGTGGGCGGGCAGACGGCCGAGCAGGCGCCACATGTAGGCCGCATAGCAGTAGGGCACACAGGTGCCCGGGCCATTGCACAGCACCAGCTGTGGCCGATCGCGCCAAATGAGCCAGCAGCTCCAGAGCAATGCCCACAGCGTTGTGAATGCGCTGCTCAGCCAGCTCTGGCCCACGCTCCGGCTGCGCGGCACACTGATAAAGTCGCTGTCCTTTGTCGCGGGCAGGGCGGCGAGCATTTGGCGCTTGGAGGTGTCGTCGCTGTTCGCCACAATGTAACGTACCGGCATGTTCTGCATCTGCGACTGGGGATTGCTCGGCTGCAGCAGGGCCTGATTGATTTTACACATTTCGGCGGTGTGTCCGCCCGAGCCGAGTATAACATAGATGGGATGTGCACTCGTCTCAGCAGAAGCTTTGCTTGTCCAGCACATGTTTGGTGCCGAAAATTAATTTAAAAAAAAAATAATAAGTAAGAAAGTTTCTGTATTTACGTTTGTTTACCTATTGTAAGCAATTTTTGGTCACACTGCACACTTAAGAAAGCCAGAGTCTGGCCACTCTATGTGTGCTGGCAAAGTACATGTATAGCTTGGGATTTGGCAATTGCACAGGGTCTGGTCACATTTAAAAATGCACAATTTAAATAGCTTGAACGAAGCACAACATTTGTTGCAATTTTTGATTTTTCTATACTAATGTGCACACATTTTAAGCAGCAGCACAGCGGCTTCGACAGCACCACAGTATAAAAAATGTCTGAAGATCCACGCAATGAGGCTGTTCTGCAGAATGTGGAAAAGCTAGTGAAGTGCTTAGCTGGTGCCGGCGTAAGTCCAATAAACATCAATATTTTCCGGCTATTAATGCTGTTGCCTTATGTTTTTGCCAGTTCACCACGTCTGAGAGACGATCGCTGATGCAATACGCAGTGCACAAGATACGGAACCATCGATTCCTGAGCACCAACAGCCATCAGGTGCGCCGCTCCATCGACAACATGGTCGAGCGGTTTCACTATGAGGGTATGTTGAACCAGGCGGAGGCTGTGCGTCACCTGAGCACGCTGATAATGAATCATGAATCGTGGAGGGAGCACTACGAGGTGGATGTGCAATATTCGCTGCTCGATTTCCTGGTCCACATGACCCACGAGCCCATTCAGACGATGCGACGCAACAGAAACCGGATGCATGAGCGTTTGCTGGCCATAAGAGATGCCCTCAAAACGGCGCCAGATACCGATGAACCCAAGGAACTGCCACAACCCAACCTTGCAGAAACGGACATCGATTGGGTGGCACTACTCAGCAAGGACTTTATTACACTACCCAGCGAAAGCTACGGCAGTGACAGCAGCCTAAGCGTAGGTGCTCCTAAAGGACATATATTATCCGGCAAAGCCGGGTATCACGTAACCAGCCACGACTGAGAAGCGTTGGCAAATATTATTGTTTACCCTCCATACCTTAAAATCCCTTTTCCTCAGTAAAAACGTCCGGATATCCTCAAATTTCTACCCAGGGTTTGACTATACCCATTGTAAATATAAAAGGTATAAAAGGATTGAATGGCTTCGTGCATTTCCGACCAACGATCCACCCATGTCCGTCTGTCTGAACGCGTCGTTTTCCACTTATTTGTAGAAATTTAGGCACACTCCTAGCTTTTACAGACTGAACTGTGGTTTGGTCATCAATTAATTAGTCAGTCAGCCTTACTTTTCTTTTTTATCGCACTCGCAGGATTGGACCGATGAGACTAGCAGCGAGGAGAGCGCACAATACGAAGAACCGCAGGATTCCAAGACGAGCCTGGATCAGAAGAACATGGCCGAGGTGTATGCCAAAAGCCAAAATTATCCCAGCGGCACGAACACGTTTGTGCCACTGCCGCAACCCACCGCCGGACGGCCAAAGAAAGTCTTTCGCATAACGCAACCGATGTCCATATCGTTCAGTGGCATCCAAACGCGGCCCAATTGGTGTACGCTGCCAAAGCTGCCGGCGCTGCAGCCACCGCAAAAGCAGATGCCGTACATATATAGCATCTTTGATGCCAACCATTTGGCCAGAACGATCCATGCGCATTGGTGGCGCCAGGACATTAAGATCCATACACTGACCCCGACAAATGACGCGTGCGCCAACTTCGCCATTTCCCATGTCCAGCATCTGAATAGACATGTGCGAGGCCTGCTCAGGCATTCGCTGCCCAATACCGTCACCGAGACCTGCCTGCTGCGCGAAATAATCTTTATGTTCTTCGAGCCGGCCAACTGTTGCTTCTTCGAGGTGCAGCCGGAGCAGCGGACGCAGATGCAGATGCAGATCAAGGTGCGCCCGAATGTATCCATCTGCAGCGTCAGCAGTGTGAGTTGTGATTCGCTCAAGTAGTTCGTCTTGTATATCTATTCTATGCTCAGGGCTTACTCAAGAGCACGCTGGAGGACGAGGTGCTGCCGGCCGTGCGGGCCATGCATCAGCTGCGTCAATTGATCAAGGAGCTGACACTGCCCACCAGCTATATGCCCAGCACTGGCACCCTGGAGTGCTTTGCCGTCGGCCTGCGCGATTTCATACAGCCCATCGTTCAGCGTTTGTTGGCCTTTGAGCGGCGATTGCTGGACAAGGCCGCCGGCAAGCCGGAGTCGAACCTCACGCTAATATACTTTATACGGCACATGTATGAAGAATTTCAGCAGCTGCACCAGCTCCAATTGCTAGCATCTGATGCCGTTGTCCAGGCGCCGCCGCATCTGCGAAGCGCCTATCTGCTGACACAGCTCTACAAGCACACCAGGGTGCATGTGCCGCACCAGAAGATGGCCACAGCGCTGCTGCTGATCGCACTGAAGCGCTACTGCGATATCAGTGACAATTGGTGGCGCCACGCCCAGCTGGCTGACTGTCGCGACGAGTATATTGTGGAATTCTGTCGAGAAGATTGGGTCGCCGCTGGCCAAGGCATACGCGAGCGTTGCCTGCCCCCAGATGCTGATGCGTCGCATCAGGCGATTCTCGACGAGCTGCAAGGCTGTGCATTCTATAAGCTGCTCATTACGTATGCCCTGGAGTCCGGCGAGACGCAGGATCTGCTGGCCAGCATTGGCCTGCTGGGCGATTTGGTTAATACCAGTCAACAGCTGGGCCCACTGCACTCGGACCTGACCAAGCAGCTCTTTAACGAGCTCCAGAGCTTCGGCAGCGGCGGCGTACATCCAGTGGGTCGGCGGCGTGCCAGCGTCCAGGAGCTGGCACGTCTGGAGCTGAAGCAGCATGACGAACAGCTGCTAAAAACCACCGACAAACTGGGCAATACCGAGATAATGGGTCTATTCACGCAGCACATTAGGCGCGCCTATGACCAGCAAGTCCACATGGAGCAGACAACGCCGCCGGTGCAGCTGCTCGATATTATTGAGGCACTGGAGCAATGCACAACGCTAAAGCTGCCGCAACTGCTGCCCCGTGCTTTGGGCCGCGTGCTGCGGCAACGCTGCGATTTGGCCAATGTGTATGTGATGCGCTGGTATCGCGATGAGCTGCTGCTGGGCGATCATGTGCGCTTCTTGCGCCATATACTCATGCTGGAGGCAGATTATCTGATGTATCCATTCTATACCAGCCTCTTTCGCCAAATCGAGTCCGGCCAGAGGTGGGCGCGTTCATCGCAGCTTACCACAGAACTGTACGACATTCTCGACGCACACTATCCGAGCATGGCCTGCGAGCTGTATGTGGAGCTAATCTCACAATCACGCTCTCAGTCCAGCAAGGTGTACGAGGCACTGGATGCCATTGGCATGGTGTATATTATGCCACCGGCTCTGTCCCGCATCATAACCGATAAGCATATGGCATACTACAATAACATTTGGCGTCTCATGCTGAAGGTCAAGTGGGCCGCCTGGAAGCTGGAGAATATGCATTTCATACGGCGTGAGCCCAACGATGTTTACGGGCCGCTCGATCTGTTGGGTCTAACGGTGCGCCGACTGGAAATGCTACGTTTCTGGCTTATCTATTTGATCAACAGCCTGCACACACATCTCTGCACCCATGTCATGCAGGCCATTGGCGGCCAGTTCGATGAGCAGCTGAAGAAAATTGGCACCATACGTGAACTGGCCAAACTGCATCACGAGTATCTGATGTGCTTGGCCAATCATTGTCTGCTCACCGAAGACTTTGAGGAGTTCCGCACGGCGCTGGAGCAGATATTCCATTTGGTGTTTGTGCTCGACATGGAATGGAATAGCTGCGGCAACTATCTAAATGCATCCCACGCTCTCAGTCTGGACATGAGCTCTGAATACGATGATCTAAGCCTCGATGAGACGACCAATTTGGATATAAATGAGTGTACCAAGGCCATGGAATATCTGGCGCTTAACCAGGTGGGCGAAATTGAGGGCACCTATATACGCTGTCATCAAATGCTGGGCAGCATACTCACGGCTCTGGTCTACAAGCATGATTATAAGTTTTGTAAGTCGTATTCGTTATATCGAAAAATCCACAAAGTAATCAATCTCTCCCTCTCTCTCTCTCTCTCTCTCTCTCTCTCTCTCTCTCTCTCTCTCTCTCTCTCTCTCTCTCTCTCTCTCTCTCTCTCTCTCTCTCTCTCTCTCTCTCTCTCTCTCTCTCTCTCTCTCTCTCTCTCTCTCTCTCTCTCTCTCTCTCTCTCTCTCTCTCTCTCTCTCTCTCTCTCTCTCTCTCTCTCTCTCTCTCTCTCTCTCTCTCTCTCTCTCTCTCTCTCTCTCTCTCTCTCTCTCTCTCTCTCTCTCTCTCTCTCTCTCTCTCTCTCTCTCTCTCTCTCTCTCTCTCTCTCTCTCTCTCTCTCTCTCTCTCTCTCTCTCTCTCTCTCTCTCTCTCTCTCTCTCTCTCTCTCTCTCTCTCTCTCTCTCTCTCTCTCTCTCTCTCTCTCTCTCTCTCTCTCTCTCTCTCTCTCTCTCTCTCTCTCTCTCTCTCTCTCTCTCTCTCTCTCTCTCTCTCTCTCTCTCTGGTGCTCGTCCGTTTTGCTGTCTCTGTCTATTTGCAGTAAATTCCCTGGAAGTGGCCATCAACTCGAGCCTGCCCTGTTAAACAGTGTAGATGTAGTCAATTGTGCTTAATCTTTATCTAAAAATAATATTTTAAATCTTACAAATTGTTAAATATGTTTAATGAAAATAATGTATATATAGCATAACAAAGTTTTAACTAAATTCAAATGCTTTCAGTGAATTTCTTTTCAAGCAATGCGTTTTTATTGTTAAGTACAATTTTTTCAAAGCAGTTGCTTTTATTGGCAAATCATTATTTTAAACAATTACTAATTAAAAAGGATGTTTTCAGAGCTCGTCAGCCGGAAATAGCTGAAAATTTAAACCGATTTAGCTCTCTTTTTGCATACCAATGCCAAATACTAGCGAATCCAGCTAGTTTTAGCTATTTTTAACATTGAATTCAGCTACTATTTTAAAGCTGCCAGCACTGATTTTTTTTCATTTAATATTTACTGTTAAAATTTAGTTGTGGCAACGCCAAATCGATAAGTCGATAAATTGCTTAAATAAATATTTGACTGTTTAACTGCACTGTTTGTGTTTTGCTTAAGGATATTTTCAGTGCTGCCAGATGGCAGAATTTGGCGGTTGACTTTTGAATTTCGACAAGCCGCCAAACTCTACAAAAGGGATGAAACAAAACATATATAAACATTGCACATTGTTGTCCTGGCAACCAGGGCGTAAAAACAAAAAAGAAAAACAAAAATAATTTGACGCACCACTCGTTAGTTTAACCACTGTGCTGATTGAGTATGGAAACGGAGACGGAGATCGGGAGCAGCAGCAATTACTACAACTATGGACAGCCATGTAAGTAAATGTTGCTTACCAAAGTGTACATTATAATATATTTTATTTATATTAGTAATGCGACAACATGCCAATTTATTGCTGCAAATGCTGCTGCAGGCCAATGTCTACGTGACGATCATCTGGGCAATTAGCTATTTACTGCACCTGATCCTTTGGGTGAGTCTCCTACAGAATGTGCTTCGTATCTATATGTATATAAAAATAAATTTACTTTACTGTAGTCGCATATGCTGTGCAACTATACGGGTCTGGCCATGCTGCTGGCCTATGTGCTGGCAGTGGGCACCGAGTGGCTGCGCCTCTATGCCAGCTACTCGATCAATCTGTGCACGGATGCGACGACCATGTGGCTCCTTCTCACGCTGACTCCCTGTGTGCTGCTGCCCGCACTGGTCTATTTGCGTCTGACCGGTGTCTTTGCCAGCAGCTGGCTGGCATTCCTGACGAATGTGCAGTTCCTGCTCATGGCACTGGAGGTGCTATCGGCGCTCCTACACCATGCACTGTGCCTGGCCAGAGCCAAAAGGCAGTCGCAAAACCAGCCTGCGTGTCGTCTAAATGCATATTAAAGTTTATGTCGACTTAAATATTAGATCATAGCATATATCCATATACGTATATACATATATCAGCATATGGCAACTAAATAGGCTACACTAAAGCTAAAGGATACGGGAAAGGAAAGGCTTGGCAGCACCATTTTCTGATCACACTTTGCGCGCATCATCCAATTTGTGGGCCTTCAGCAGCGCATCGATGCGGTCCAGTTGCGCCCGCATTGCTGGCAAATAGCTGGTCAGCACCTCAATATTCTCCAGCTGGGCAGGACCCTGGCCCAGCAGCTGGCTGCGCGTGGGCACCCAGCTGTAGATGATCTGCAAATGGAATTGTGGCATATTTGAATCATATTGGCGCTGTCAACTTTCAGTCTCTCGGGGTCTGCACTCTACCTTGATGGTGCTCTGCACTATGAAGCCATGGTAGGGCTTCAGGGTGCGCTCGTAGGCATCCTGCAGATGCTGTTTGAGCGGCTCCGCTTTCTGTGCATCATTGTAGATGTTCTCGAAGAAGGTGCAGATCAGCTGGAGTCCACGCTTTAGCCAGAGCAGCGCATTTGCCGCAAAATCATCAACATCAACGTTCAGCACAATCATGTCCTCCAGATATTGATATTTAAGCACATCCGTGCCGTACACCTTGGTTAGTTTCTGTGCGTGGTAAAAACAAATACGATATCAAATAAATTGTGTGCATAGATCAGAGAAAGTGTGCTTTACGTCGGACTGGCTAGCGGAAGGTCGCCGGTTCAAATTCAAATTAATTTTTTTTTATATATTCGCCTATTTCGTTTGTTATTCGGGCTGATTTGACGTAATCTGATTTCGTCTATATTATATGTTATGAAATAATAAATAATAAAATAAATTTGCGTACTTACATTGATATTGCCATTCATGTCGCTGATGACGGGCGTAAAGAGCTTTCCAAATGTTTCTGTTGGCATTTCGATAATTATTATATATATAGATAGATATAGTGATCGATCTGTTCTAAACTTACCGATGACAGTTACAATTTCCTTGGCCGCATTCAAAAATGTCTGAGTCTCGATTTTGTCGGAGGCATTGGGAAAACCTTTCAAGGCTTTAAACTGTATGCGCGCATCCACCATGATTATTACTATTATTATTATTAATGTTATTACTATTATTATTAATGTTATTACTATTATTATTGTTCTGTTAAGTTTTATGGTAAGATCTTCGAGCTGTTGTTCCGGATTGTTTGAGCTCTGAAATATGAATGAAAGCAGTTTGTGTTGAGGTTTCTTGCGTCTCTTGCCTTTTGCAATAGTTTTCGTTGTTGTTGTTTTTGAACATCAATATGACTCTTTTTCTACTTAGTTGCTGTTGTTGTTATATTTGTTTATCTTATCAGCGCCTTTGCCAAATAATATGTTGCTGTTGTTGTTGTCCCTGTTTCTTGTTTCTATCAAAGTATTTTCATTATCGAACTGCCAGCGCGGCGGCCGCGCTTTGCCCATCTTAGCAGCGAAAAAACAAAGAACAGAAAACAACAACAAAAAATATAGTTAAATTAATTGAAATAAAGCACTGCAAATACGTTAAAGACACAGTAAGACAAGTTTTTTTTTTGCCTTTTCATTTCAAACAACGCGTCAGCAAAACGCAGCTGCACAGTGTGACAAATACACGCGAACAAGTCGAAGTAGAACAAAAAAACAACAAGTAAGCGGTTCTAGTCGGCAGCTCCCGACTAGGGGATACCCTACTGTTCTAGAAGCTACATGTCAAGTTTGGTGACTCTAGCTCATATTATTTGCCGAAATTTGTTAAAAAAAACAGGATTTCGATATCGATTTTTATCGATTACTTGGAAACGGGGCAAGTTATCGAATATCGGAAACAAACTCGATCTGCGCGAGCACGAGGAGGACCTACAGCTAAAATTTCAAGTCTCTAGCTCTTATAGGTTCTGAGATTCTTGCGTTCATACATACGGACGGACGGACAGACGGGCAGATAGACAGACGGACAGACGGGCAGATAGACAGACGGACATGGCTAGATCGACTCGGCTGTTGATGCTGATCAAGAATATACATACTTAATGGGGTCGGAGATGCTTCCTCCTGCTTCTGTTACATACAATTGCACAAAAACAAAAAAACGGAAATGCATACCTCTATTTACCCCGAAGTACCTCTATTTTGTGTATTCGAATGTTGACTGCGAGTTTCGAAAGCAGCAAGGTTCGAAAGGTTGACTTAATCACTTTGCTCAAGCTATGTGATTAACATATTTCGACTGTGAATTACGTTATCCCCAATCTTATATGACATCATTACATGCCCTTGCATTAAGTACACCGCATAGAATTGGAATCCATAGAGTATATATGCATATTCTGGATCAGTCGAGATCGGTCGACTATCTTTATAGAATTGAAGAACTTGACCAAATTGGACCTTTAAGAGCTCCTCTTGGTTTCTCAAATATGAGTGAAATCTTGGCAACATCGGATTACTATATAATATATATATCAATAAACATCAATTAAAGTTCTATAGAAACGATCGGTTGGAAAATGAACGCTTCCATGTCATAAAGTCTTCGGCTAAAGGTTAAGTTAATTTTTTTTTTTTTTTTTTTTAGTATGTATATACAAATAGTTATATTTTGATTAGACAAGTGCTTGTTTGCCCCACTGTGCAGCAATGCTGACAACGTAGCAGACAGACAGCTCAACCCATTTGAAATAGACAACGATCGATGCGAGAGTCTTCGAGCTCTCCCAAACTCTCTCGAGGCTGGCAGCTTGGCTCAGGTTCAGCTTGGGTTAAACAACTAAACCAGTCTCCGATTATTACAGTGGGCCTCTCAGTCAATAGTCAACAGCGTGTCTGTGTGTGTGTGTGTGTGTGTGTTTGTACACAATCTTGAACTAGTTCTCTGCAAATAGCGTGCTCTAATCGAACTCTGATAGAGCTCGACAGTTCGACAGCTCGACAGTCAGAGTTGATAAGCCACGCAGCACTTGTGGGTTCAAGAACTTCGCACATGAATCATCGAAAAGCGTTTGATGGCCATTATATGACATATGTATGTCCCAGCATGACTCACAATGTAATTAACCTGTGCTATCATTGAGGCAGGACATGGTTTGACTTCCCCTAATATCTTTATGGGTTTCCCCAAAACGTGTCGTCACACAAATTATGAATGTATCAGTTCCAAGGTAACAATACCTGTTCAAAGAATGTGCACAAATCGTTTATGTAGACATATAAACGAAACGTTTGTTTAGATTTGGTTCTTTATAATAGAAATATGGTTAGTTAAACATAACCTATATAATATAAGAATAGATCCTTCTATCTGTTCTGCCTTGTGCCTGTACAGAGACAATCTGTTGTTTATATTATCTTCGGTCTGTACTTCTCATATGCGAGCATTAAATTCAAATATAACAAGAATCATTGACTGACTGATTGGTGATCAACGCACAATAAATACATACATACACACATATATACGTATATACATACATTCATACATACATACATACATACTAACACACATACATACATACATATATGTGTACACACGTACATACACACATACATATTTACACACATACATACATACATACGTACATACATACATTCATACATACATACTAACACACATACATACATACATATATGTGTACACACGTACATACACACATACATACATACATACGTACATACATACATTCATACATACATACATACTAACACACATACATACATACATACATATATGTGTACACACGTACATACACACATACATACTTACACACATACATACATACACACATACATACGTATATACATACATTCATACATACATACTAACACACATACATACATACATATATGTGTACACACGTACATACACACATACATACTTACACACATACATACATACACACGTACATACATACATTCATACATACATACATACATACTAACACACATACATACATACATATATGTGTACACACGTACATACACACATACATATTTACACACATACATACATTCATACATATATACATACATACTAACACATATATATACATACATATATGTGCACACACGTACATACGTATATACACACATATATACATACTTACTTATACACATACATACATATATGTGTACACACGTACATACGTAATTACATACATACACACATACATACTTACACACATACATACATACATACTTACACACATACATACATATGTACATACTTACACACATACATGTATGTGTACACACGTAAATATATATGTGTACTTACACACAAGCATACATCTAAATGTACATACAAACATACAAAAAAAACAACAAAATACCAAAAAAAAAAAAAAAACAACACTACACTACTGGCTAAGCATGAAAAACTGCAGAGCCTACTTGAATTCTTGAGAATCGAGGAGAAGAGCACTTGGTAGAAATTCGTTTTATTTAAATTTTGCAGCACAGCGACAAATCAGCTTGGTCTGCGTTTGGGTTTAGAAAACAAGCATGCATGCGTATATGCATACATACATGCATGCATACACTAACACACACACGCCCACACACACACATACACACATATATGAATCATGATGCATGACTTAATTATTACAATAACATATAAAAATAGTAGCAAGAACGACTTCAGTTATATAGTTAAAGTCATTTATATATCATATAGTATTTCTTTTTGTACTCTTTCATAAATAAATTCATCTCTATATATAAAACAGTTTGTCCTGACTGACTGACTGACTGACTGACTGACTGACTGATTGGTGATCAACGCACAGCCCAAACCGGAAGAGCTAGGAAGCTGAAATTTTCGCTGTAGTTACCTTATGTGATGTAGGTGCACGTTAAGACGGGGTTTCGGGAAATTCCACCCGCAAGTGTGGAAAAATCGCGAAAAACGTTTGTATGTAACTTTTTTGTTTACCATCCGATCGGCTCCAAAATTATTTTCAAAGATCTTTGTTCAAATTCATTTGAGGGGTGTTTCGCACTTTTCGGAAAACCCATTCCTCCTTGGTGGAAATGGAGGTAAAAGATTTGGTGGGTGACGTTTCGCACTCAAATTCATTTTCAGAGATCTATTAGAAAAATCATTTGAGACGTGTTTCACACTTTTCGCAGAATTCAAACTTCTTCGTGGGGAATGCGATTTAAAGATTTTTTGTGCGAAGTTTTAAGTTGTGTCCGATTTGCTTCAAACTTATTTTCAAAGCTCTCAATAAGAACTTAATGAATACGTATTTCGACGATTTGGGAAATTCCACCCGCAACAGTGGTAAATTGGCAAAAAACGGTGGTATGAAAGTTTTTTGTTTACCATCCGATCGGCCCCAAACTCATTTTCAAAGATCTATATTCAAATTCATTTGAGGGGTGTTTCACACTTTTTGAAAAATCCATCCCTCCTTGGTGCAAATGGGGGTCGAAGATTTGGTGGATGACGTTTTGTGTTCAAATTTATTTCCAAAGATCTATAAGAAAAATCATTAGAGACGTGTTTCACATTTCTCGCAAAATCTAAACTCCTTCGGTGGAAAATGCATTTTTAAGATTTTTTTGGTGAATTTTAAGAGTTTGTTTGATTCCCGTCCGATCAGTTTCAAAATCATTTTCAAAGCTTTTTTGATTTTATAACAAACGTGCCACGGGAAAGGCCGGGTTATACCCGCTAGTATAATATATAAGTATTGGTCAGAGTTTCTAGTTCCCACGATATATATTTTATACTACTCCAACATATAGCTTTCCTTTAGTATTAAGGAAATAAATTAAAATAATGTATAAGTAAGAGTTTCCAGATCCCAAAATAATTTTATTTTCATACTATTCCAATATATATATCATATTGTTTCCTATTTCTGTTTCTTTCCGTTTCTTGATATTTAACTATTAAAAAATTTGAATTCTTAAATAACTGTGCGCGGTTTTGTCTCATTAAATATTTATCATTTTCGCCCTGTGCTCATCTATCAAACTGTCAAGCAACATTTTTACTGTAATCAGCAATTAATTTACTAGCCAGATATCATAATCATGAATCATCGAATAGATTACAGCTGGAAACATAAATGGTAAAATTGTCTGAAATCTAATAGAAATTTGTTTTACAATCAAATAATTGTGAAAAACGAGGCCAAAGATGAAAAGGGAATAACTTTATGTAAGAGTGTCATTTTCCCCTTATGTGGTGGATTTAACAAAATCGCTGAAATACGCAATCGGTGGGGTGTGTATGTGTGTGTGTGTGTGAATTTTGTGAAATGCATGAAATAAGTCTCTAGTAAATTTACACAAAGATCTGCCAGATCGAATGGTAAGCAAAAAAGTTGTATGCAATCGATTTCCACCAGTTTTCCACAGCTGCACGTGGAATTTACCAAAAGTGTATAAGTGCATGAGGTAACTAATGTAGAAGACCAGATTCCTAGTTGATGGTGGCTTTGATCATCAATCAGTCCGTCAGTCCGTCAATCAGTCCGTCAATCAGTCAGTCAATCAGTCAGTCAGTCAGCCCAATTCTAGTTGGACAACTCACCCGAACAGGCGCTACTTGGCTGGCTGGGGCTGGGCTGAGCCGTCCAAGGCCAAGCGCTTGGTGTCGCCGTCAATGGTCAGGACGAAGGCGTAGTGAGTGCGCTGCGTGGCGAGCAGATGCCAGAGGGAGGCGGGCAGCTGGAAGCGATGCGTCTCCTGCTCGAACTCTTCGTAGTGGGCCACCAGGCTGTTGAGATTGCAGCGCAGCTCGACGAGGCGCAACGGCACGCTGGCGACAATCTCGGCGCTGGCTGGCAGCAATTGGATGTGGACCGGCGGCAGCTGCTCCAAGCTGGCCGCCTGCAGGCCGGCACGCAGCCAGCGATGCTGGGCCAGAATGACGGCGCAGTTGTGGGCAAAATAGAAGCTATCGTTGCGTCGCTGCGCGTGATAGTTGTCCAGAAATTGGCTGCCCGCCGGCTGCTTCAGCTTCAGCTGTGTGAATCGTGGACGCACCAAAGATGTGGCGGCGTCTGTTGTCGTGGACACAATGCGCTGCGGCAAATGCTCCGTGGGCTGATCAACGGTTAGCACGCGATTTAAATAGTCAAAGCCCTGGCCCATGACACCCTCCAGGGTGTGCCCCAGATCGAAGCAATGGCCCAGCTCGTGGCAGACGGCGCCCAAGGTGCTCGCATAGACGCCGCCGTATGTGCGTCGATAGTTGCTCTCGTCCGGCAATCTGGTCACATCCACGCGCTCCGTGCTGCGTATACAGTCGCCAATTTCGGAAAAGCGTCGCGGCCAGGCATAAAAGTGTCCGCTGCCAAAGAGCGCCAAGCCGCCGCCGCCCAAGGCTGCGTGCGCCTGCAGATGCCGTCGGATGTTCGCGTAGGAGTAGTCACCGCTGGCGGCAACCGCGGCGCCGTCGTACCGTGTGCAGCCGACAAAGGCGACGAATTTCAGCTGGAGCTGCTGGCCCCAGTCCGGGCAGGCGAGTATCTCGCTGGCAAAGCGCTGCCAGAGCTCGTCCTCGCTGCAGGCGCGCGCCGTCGCGCAGCTCAGCTGCGAGTAGAAGACGCGGCAGGCGCCGTTCAATGTAAAGGTGCGATTCGTATAGCCGGCGGCGCTCAATTTATGCGCATAGATGCACTGCACCAGGCGCAAATTCAAATCGATCAGACCGCAGCGTTCCGCCTCCAGCGCTGACTCCTCCTGCTCCGCGCCGCTGGGCCGGCACACCAAATACAGCGGCTGCACACGATATGCGCTGCACCGTGCCTGATAGCTGAACTGCAGCAGACGCTCGCCGCTGCAGCAGCGTAGTCGCAACTGACAATTTACTGGTAGCTCCGGGTACTCGGATTCCTCTGTGGCCAAATCAAAGAGCAGCTTGAATCCGCCGGCGGCGGAGAGCTGTGTCAGCTGCTCCTGTTGTATCTGGCGCAGCGAGAGTGTCGCCTTCAGCTGCTTGGCGCTGGCACAGCTCGGCTGAAGTCGACCCTTAATCAGCAGAAGGCTGTGCTCCACCTTATCCGCTTCCTTTAGTGCCTCGACTTCAATGTGATGGACGCGCTTGCAGCCGCTGACGATGCAGCTGGTCATTGCTCCCAGCCGGCGCGCGTCACAGCACTCACAAACATTCGCACACAAACACAGACACACACACACACACACACACGCGTAAAAAACAGCTGACAGCTGCGAATGACACAGCTGTCACACATACAGCTGTTAGGAGTGAGCACTGTTAGAGATGAGCACTGTTAGCAATGGGCGCTGTTAGAGATGAGCCCTGTTAGAGATGAGCGCTGCAACACGATAGCGGTTAGCATTAAAATTAAACAAAATTATTAAGCTAACGGAGCGCCTTTATTAGTTTATATTAAGTTTTCAATGTGCAATAGATAAATTAAATCTGTATTTTATATTATATTTCAATTGACTCTAATATGCAAACAAATTCCAATTTCTGATAAATAAATTGTATTTAATAAACAAATATCTTTATAGAGGGCATTACCTGTAAGTGAAGGGCATTTAAAAATATTTGTTTATTCTTGTTTATTCGGATAGCACCAGTTTGCTGAGTGACAAAAGATATGAAAATTAACATATTTTACACTTCAATTAATGCTCCCGAAAATATTCGAAAACAATTAAACAAAAGAATAACACTTGACAGTTCAACATACAGCGAATTCGTGATATAAACATTTTCGTAAAAAGCTAAACAGAACATAAAATTATTTTCATTTATTTTGTGGACTCAATCTGCGTGTTGTTTGCGTTCTGCGGGTTCATGACCCGCCTAAAGAAAGCTAATAAAAGCTGTGCGGCACAGGAACCGGTTTATTTTATTTTGTTTTCTATCATTTAACTTAAGCCTAAGCTGACGACGTTGCACGCGTCCAGCAGCTGCCGGCAGAGATTCAAAGGATTGGGTATTAGCAGACGTATCCTTCACTACCTGAGCTTGCCATTGTGCGTCGAGCGATATTTGGCGAAGCGCTCCATGTACTCCGCATGTTGGTCTAGGCTGGCCAGAAGGCCGCCGCTATTCACTGGCGAGTCGTGGGGCCCATAATTGATGGGCTCGTCGTCGAGCGTTGACATGGCGCCGCCAAGGGCGCGCAGTATGGCCTCGCCGGCACAAATGTCCCACTTCTTGATTATGGAGGTGTGCAGATAGGCGGTCGCATTGTTGGCCACCACTTGTAGCACCTTGTACCCAGCGCCAGCGGCTGTCAGCAAGCTGACATTCTCGCCAAAGACATTGCGCGCCACTTCCTTGACGGCGGCGGCATGCGAGCGCGAAACGGTGATAATGGGCTGATCGGAGTTGAGACGCGGCTGCTTGTGCAGCTCATCCAGATACTCGGACATGCTGTGGCCCACCCACGCCCAAGCGGTCTGGCCGCTGAACGGATTGTGTATGACGCCAATCACTGGACGACCGGCGACAGCGACGCACACCATGGTCGTAACATACTCGTACAGCTCCTCTGGATGGGCAGAGGGAATAGATTAGGCTGATCAGCATGCTTATATGTGTATAGGTACCTGTAAACTCTTTGGTGGCATCGAGCGGATCCACCCAAATGGTCACATCTTGCGCGGTTACTGCCACGTCGGGCACACTGGCTGTCTCGTGCAGCACAGTGGGATCCAGATCGAAGCTGTGCGCATCTTTGCAATGCTCCTTGTCCTCCTCGGAAAAGATGCGAACACGCGGAAAAATGCGTTGCAATCCCTGCTTCATCACGCAATGCGAACGGCCATCCGCGTCCGTAAACGGATCGTTGACACCTTCCGCCGTTTTGCCCTTGCTGCGCTCCTTTAGCTGGCGCGTATGCGCCACATCGAGCACCTCCAGGCCGCCGCGCTGTGCCGCCTGTATGGCGGCAATTAGCATTTTGCGAAGATTCACTTTGTTATCGCTGCGTAGCATGCCATAAATGGCGGGCCGCTCATCCTTGTGGAAGTTGAGAAAGTAGACAAGCACAATGGTCAGCAGAATGGCAGTTATGGTAGCTGGCACCCGATTGATGCGTATGGTGCGTCCGTTCATTTTTTCGGTCGCTTTGTGGCTCATCAGGAATCAAGTCGTCTCACAATGCCAATGCTTTCAGCACTAGCCGCCGGTTTTTCAGCTGCGACGTGCCACTCGCCGCGGGCTATGCCAGATCAGCACAGCTGCCGCCGCTGCTACCAAAAAGCAAAAAAAACAAAAAGACCAGCAACAACAATAGAATCAACCTATAACAAACATCGGCGTGAATAAACAAATGACGCTCACGAACGCAGTCTTAAGAGAGCAGCTGTGTAGTTAAGCCAGAGAGCCGTACCGACGAAACCCCGACGCGTTATTTCACCCACTTGTTTGTTGTTCAAAACAATTGAACGAAAAAAAGTTGCTGCGATAGACGTGATATGAAAAGTGTGGTGGTCGGTCGATGACACCATCGCCGAGTCAATTTACTAAAATATATACTTAAATTTCATCTACAGCTTGAGTCAACACACAAGATGAACAAATTTGTTAATTTATTTGTCATGCAATTACTTACTTACGATGAATGCAATAATTTAGAAAATAATATTAGACCGGCGAAAAGCTGGCAGCGCTGTTATTTGAGTATATTTCCAATTAGTCTATATTTTAGCAATAAAAATAAGGAAAATAATTCGTTTTTGCTAGTCATATATTATTGTATTAAAATGAAACAGTTTATTCATATATTTAATTCGAATTTAAAGTTTAGCTAACTATCGGCCATCGAAAAGCTGGCAGCTCTGCCGCGCGCTTTCAAAAGCGCTTCGCCTGGGTGGCAGCCTAGCATTATAACTGTTTTCAGTACGCATGTATGTTTGGTGAAGAAAAGTTATGTTAAAGCGCGAATTGCAAAGTATTCAGCTGAAGCTGTCCGATTTGGAGGAGTACGAGGCTGTGCGTAGGCGCAACAAGATTAAAGCCGCCATTGAAGCGGGCAGGTCATCATCAGCCACGGCCACGGCCACCGAAACGGCCCCATCGACTGCCAGCGACTCGACATCCGAGACGCCAGTGACTCAACGCCAGATGGAGGACCTGCCGGCCGCTGTTGGATGGTCAACAGCTGTGATTGTCAGCAGCAACACCAATTCCGGTTCCACCGAAGACGACACCAGTGTGGTGGCTGTGGCCGATGACAACGACACCATCGCCGAGCTCAGCGACGATGGCTGGGTGGATATTGACGAGGAGGATGGCGCTCGTGGCGGCGAACCGTAGTTTACAGCTCCAATCAGCGATAGTCGCACATTTTTACGTATATTCAAATGCTACTCTATATGTCGTATGATCATTTTTGTCCGAAAAACTCAAAAGAAAACAAATAAACCGAATTTATACACATTTCAGAGATTATATGTATGTACATATGTACATACAATATGCATGCATTTGTGTGTATGTCTATGTGTATGTGTTCGTGTTCGTGTTCGTGCTTGTGTTTGTGGTCTTATTCTAGGGGATGGTCAGAGATCCTGCAACGGCATATGCTTGAAAGCTTTCAATGACGCTGCGCGAGCTTTCGTTTTGCGCGCTTCAATATGCAATTAAAACTTAGAAGCTCTCCTCTGGCGGCGGCGCTGCATTTGAATAGCGAAAGCTATCTGCCTTTTCGGCCCAAATAACAACGAAAATAACTGGCGCTGAATCCTCAGGTGGCCGTTGCGCAAATGCCACACGGTTACTGCGGCACTGTCAGTCGCCGTGCGCGCCTGTCTGTCCGCATCCGCGTGTGGCAGTTGCCGACGGGGCAACAACCACAGTACAGTCGTGATTTCCAATTTGCCGGTTGGTCGATGCACCCAATACGACCGGTTCCGGCTTCGACTTAAACTCCGGCTCCGGCTCCGAATACGTCCTCAACGCCAACTTCAACTCCGGCTCTGACCCTGACTCTGACTATGGCGAAGCGTTCACGTGCGTGCGTGACCAAATTGCGTTAAACGGAGTTAATTGTTTGTTGTTATCCATATTAGCGCGGGCCTTCAAATTAATTACGTGAACAAATTGCTTTTTGCGCCTCTGCCTGTGCCGCGTCATCGTATCCGTGCTGTCCGTGACCTGCAGTCGAAAAGATCGACCCACGTGCTAGCTAGCCTGCCGTCACGTGGTCCCCCGACCCGCAGACCCCTGCTGCCATCAACGGCAGCCCTAAGGTGAGCTTACGTGACGGACAAAGACAGAGAAACTGACAAACGTTCACACGGAACATGCAAATGGCGGCGCTGCATCGATATAACCACCTGTCACGCACACAAGCACACAAGCACAAAGGCACAAACATACACTCACACTCACACTCACACACACACAGCCGCACAACAAAGCTTGACTGGCACGAGACTCGACACGTGTAGTGCACAGCGGAAGTAAAAACAGAAGCCACAGTACAGTGAAACTTCCTTTTAAAGTAATTTATATTAATTGTAGATTGCTGCATACACTTTTGAAAAAAAAACTTGGGCTCTTAAATTATAGCTAGCATTTCTATAAACAACAAATATACGATTTTACAAAATGTTTAACAATTTCTACAAGTTCTTACAGCAGAAATGTTTGGGAATTTTCAATTTTACAATCTATAAATAATATGATATGATATAAATGTTTTTTTGGGATATAATTTAAATGAAATTGATATTTATTTTTTATTAAGAACATTCAATGCTGAAACAAAGAGAACTTCAGCTATTATTCTCTATTAGTATATATTATTTATTTTTTTGAGTGTATGCAATTTAGTCAAAGAGAAGTGCATGGCGCGGGCTTTTAGCGCTTGGTCAAGGTTCTTCTCGCAGGGCTTTTGCCGCTTTCGTCCGGTCCGGCACCTTTCATTAGTTGCACATAATTAGCTCAGCTCACTTGCCACAATGCCACTTGCACATGCAAAAAGCACTCACTCGCACACAAACACACTCACACACACATGTACTACTGTAGCTGATGCTTATAGGAGCTGCTGCCGCAGGGCAGCCCTCAACAGGTGCGACAAGGTCTTCCCTCGGCGCGCTACGCTACCCAGCCGACCAGCATTATTAATGCTGTAGAATGGACAAGAGCATGTTAAATAGAAAGCGGCAACAATGCAAACGACACACTCTCCTCCCCTCGCCCCCCACCCATTTTACACAGCTTCGCAGTGGCTGGCTGTTGTGGGCTTCCCTTGAGTTTCTTAAAGCCGTTGCCCGCTTTTAGGCGGCACTGTGGCCAACTTTTGCACGTACTCTTTGTTGTTATTGTTCATGTAACTGTTTGGCTGCATTCAAAAAACCACAACATAGCTGCACAATTTACAGTTACTAGCTGATTGTGTATACCCACAACTCGTATACGTCATACATATATGTATATGTAATATCGATGTACATATTTGCACGTGGATTTGTATATTGCAACGTTTTGTCAGCTAATTTGCATGAATTTTATTTCAAGGCGCATTCTTCAATCCGCCGCTGTCAACCAATGGGTTGGCGAGGGGAAGGGGGGGTGGGGAGGGGTGGTTGGAGTAAAGTTATTTTTCATGCTCGCTGCACACACACATAACGGCGAATGACAATGACAACTGATTGACAACAACAACAACAACAACAACAACAACAAGAAGAACAAGCGCAGAATGCGAACAAAAGAGAAAAAACAAATTGCATTAACCAAGTCAATATGGAAATCAATGCGAAGTATGTACATAAATTATAAATGATAAATGATATTAACATATGCAAATGTATGTGCACCTCGCATGCATATGTTTTTACAGCCTTTTTTTTAAAGGTTATGTTGGACTGATATCAGGAATATGCGAGTGTGCCCAACTTCTGCCGAAGCGTAGTTGGATTTCGTTGGGCTTATTAATATGCAACATAGTATTAAAGCGTTTTTAACTTTCTGAAGATTTCAGATTTGAGCGAAACAGGCCTCGAACACATTCAAGACTGCGATTAGCTTAGTTCACAAGCTTTCTTGATATAATCAAGGTGTTATGTTTTCAGTTGCGGCATCTGTAAAAAGCTACACACATTATATACCATCTAATTATCGAGAACTGTGTAGGTTAACATGAAATTTCGTTGAACAGCCCATTCAAAATGGGTAAAAAGGGTATATTATAGTTGTGCAAATGTATGTAACAGGCAGAAGGAAGCATCTCCGACCCCATCAAGTATATATATTCTTGATCAGCATCAACAGCTGAGGCGATCTAGCCATGTCCGTCTGTTTGTCCGTCCGTCCATCTGTCTGTCCGTCCGTCCGTCTGTCCATCCGTCCGTCCGTATGTATGTAAGAACGCAAGGATCTCAGAACCTATAATAGCTAGAGACTTGAAATTTTAGCTGTAGGTCCTCCTAGTTCCCGCGCAGATCGAGTTTGTTTCCGATATTCGTTAACTTGCCCCGTTTCTAATTAATCGATAAAAATCGATATCGAGATCCTGTTTTTTGAACAATTTCCCCAAATAATATGAGCTAGAGTTACCAAATTTGACATGTAGCTTCTAGAATAGTATATATATATCAAGTATCTTTCATTTTATACCTATCACCTGTCGGAAGAAGAGGGTTCAGGGTATCCTCTAGTCGGGAGCTTCCGACTAGAAACTCTTACTTGTTTTCTTTCCATATTTGACCTCTTCACGCTGTCATGTCCGTATATAGAATAATTTATATGAAAATAGCCCAAGTACCGAGAAAAACACAGTTTTTTGTTTAGCTAGAAACTCAACTAAATCGATCAAGTTAGGCTAATCGACTGCTGCGCCTAACAAATTTCGCTCACATTATTTACGAGCTGCAAAAACAAAGTCCCAGTCGGGTGCAACCGACTGCGCAATGCTCTCTCAAAGTCCAATTATAGTTTATTTTCAGCAAAAAATGCAATTGTTAGTTAAAAATTGAATTGCCTTATGATAACTGTTAAAGTATATTAAAGAGGGCTTAAACTCAAACCTGGTAAAAGAAAAAGTGTCAAATTTAGCCACAAGGCACAAAGCTGGTTCGAACTCTGAACCGAACCAGCGCTTTTTGCTTGGGCACATGGAAAGCTCGACGGACAGCTAGACGGACCTGCCACAAAGCCAATATAGTCTATTCTTAGTTTGGTGAAACATCAAAAAATCACAGCAGCGGAAGCGAAACTCACGTGTCTAGCCCAAGCTCTATTCGCAGTTCCACTGATTAAGTGGACCTCAGACCCCGGACAAAAAAAAAAAATATGTCAAAATTGTTGTTATTGGAGCACGTGCTTTTCAACTATGTTGTCGTGTAGTTTGCTTCTGTTTCCGTATACCCTGTACCCATAGAAAATTTGTAAAAGGGTATACTGTTTGCTATTTCACTTCATATATGTATATATATAAAATCTTGACCAGGTCAACGAATTAAGTCGATATATAAAACCATCGATCTTGAAAAATACAAGAGCTAAAGTTAAGCTCCGTAATATATATACTCTCGTATATCGTATTTTTTCCTCAATATTTCGTTAAATTTTTCTAAAACCGATAAATATCGATTTTGCGAAATTTAAAAGAGCTGGATACACAACATTTTCGTATAGTATACACAGGTTCCTTATTAAATGGTGTAAAGCTCATTTGTGTAGCTATAGCCTTGGGCTTTGGTATTCACACACATTTGGATATGATATTTGTGCTCTGAAAATATCACTGGGATCAGTCTAGAAACACCAAAGTTATTAAAGAACACACTTTCCATAGATCAGCGCCAGTCGCAGCTGAGTGCAGGGTATCTCCCAGTCGGGCATTATGGACGAAAATGAATCAATAAAACACAATTTTCCACTAGTCTATCTTATCGGAGTCGATCCTTTATGAGATCCACAATAAACAAATTCTGGCTACTGTGTTAAGGCAAACAAGTAAGTGGTTCTAGTCGGGAGCTCCCGACTAGGGGATACCCTGAACCCTCTTCTTCCAACAGGCGATAGGTACAAAGTGACAGATACTTGATATATATATACTATACTAGAAGCTACATGTCAAATTTGGTAGTTTTAGATCATATTATTTGGCGAAATTTGTTAAAAAAAACAGGATTTCGATATCGATTTTTATCGATTACTTGGAAACGGGGCAAGTTATCGAATATCGGAAACAAACTCGATCTGCGCGGGCACCACAGTTAAAATTTCAAGTCTCTAGCTCTTATAGGTTCTGAGATCCTTGCGTTCTTACATACGGACAGACGGACAGACAGACAGACGGACAGACGGACATGGCTAGATCGACTCGGCTATTGATGCTGATCAAGAATATATATACTTGATGGGGTCGGAGATACTTCCTTCTGTCTGTTACATACATTTGCACAAATACAATATACCCTTTTTACCCATTTTCAATGGGTTCAGGGTATAAAAATACCCCAAGCTGGCCGAGAAGTTCAGCTGGAATTGGTTTTGGGGTTAATCTTGAGGTGGGTTTGGGGGGAGTCACACAGTTCCGTTTTGGGGACAAGTGAATGCACCTATTAAAACCAATAGACAACCGAATATGGCTGTGAAAAGGTGTCGCTTATCGGAGACCGAGGTCCACAGGCTAAGAGGCTAAGAGGCTAAGAGGCTAAGAGGCTTCGCATCTGGCGGCCGTTGGCCCAGTGGCAGATCGGAGTGGAATTTCACGCACAGTTGTTGCATTTATTGAGGTTTTTGTTTTTTTTTTCTTGGTTTTTTGTTTTTTAACATCTGTGTATCTGTGTTTACTTTGTATTGGGATGCTACAAGTATTGACCTTAAATTTGAGTTTGAGCTGTCCAAGTCGTTATCACCGCCGTCCCCGGCTACACAATGAAAATTTCTAAATTAAGAGTTTTCGATATTGTTGTTTTTTTCATTTGGCTGGGTGTAATCTGAGTCTCTGTTATTGTTGTCTTTTGTCTGGAACAAACACAAATACCAATTGTGTTCCAGGAACAGGAACACAGCAAACAACGGGGAACGCCGAACTGGGCGCTATCGACGCTATCTCGTATACGGCCCGGGTGCCCGGCTTCTGGAGCTTAAAATAGCGTACGCCTCGTTTTATAAATAGCACAAAACGAAAGAAGGAGAAGGGGGAGGGGGAGGGGGGAGGAGGAGAAGAAGTATGAAGAGCAGACGCAGGGAACTGAACTATTCAAACAGACGATCTGTCGATAAGTGCCGCTGAGCGGCATCCGGGAAATGGATGCAGGAGTACAGGAGCGCAGCGCGCTCAAATGATGCGCAGCTTACGGGCCATGCGGCACAGCTGGTTCCAAATGAAGGCGGGCAGGGTGCGCGGCGGGGGCGGCGGTGGCGGCGGCTGGCATATCGTCTGCGCCGTTAGGATCAGGCGCCGCAATACGGGCAACCGCTGCAGGCTGCCGCCCAGCACATAACAGCCGTGCAGCAGCGAGATGAGCACCAGGAGCGTCTTTAGCAGCGACCACAGCGAGCGTCCGCGCAGGCGCAACGTCCACAGATCCTGGACAGCGTCGAGCAGGGATCGCTGCTGCTGCTGCGGCACACCGGCGCTGCGCAGCTGCACGGCCAATGGCAGCGGCAACAGCACCGTCTCCTGGTTGGGAGACGGTATCTGTGTCTGTGTCTGTGTCTGTGTCTCGCTGTCGGCCTGGCCCTGGATCTGTCTATGGGTTTGGGTCTGTGCATGTTTGCCGTGCGGCAAGCGTGTCCGTATTGTCTGTGTTTCGGCCTGCAGTTGGGCCCGTATCTGTGTCTGGGTACCGATGGTCCGCTGCAGCAGCTGTGCATCCAGGCTGATCATCAGCTTGTCGCAGCGCGTGCAATGGAATGCGATCTCCGCATGCTCCAGCGCCTCATAGAAGCCGCTCGGCGGCGTTTCGTCCTCCAGCTGCGTCAGATTCTTGGCGCACAGCCATTCGAACAGCTTCGTTGGCTGGGTGGGCGCCGGCCCATCCCCGATGACCACTGCCTTCGGCCGATTGTCCATGAGGCAGCACCAGTTGCTGCTGCTTCTGCTGCTGCTGCTGCCGCTGGGGTCAGCTATATTCAGAGAGTCCGCTTCCATGATCACAATTCCAGCATGTGTTTTCTTGATTGTATATGTATATTTGTGTGTAGCTTTGGTGGGCGTAGGCTGCATCAAAATATATATATAAATATAATAGTTATACACGTTTGACAATATTGACGATTTTCACAATTCACTTATTCGACTTACGAACGGAACAAAATTTCACTCCTCAATTTTCCAGTTTCTGAGCATTATTTCAATTGAAGCACGTTTCACGAAACGATCTCCATAACAAACAGCTCAAACAAAGGCGACCCGTTTCGGGCCAAATGCGCTCCTGTGCGCGTCCGCGTCAATCCGATTGACATTTCGTTCCGCTCTATTTGCATTTTGCGGCTCGCCAATCGCAATCGGAATCGTTATCGATAGTTTGTTATCGCATTGCCTGCTTACTGCAAATATGCAAATATGTGTGCAGCTCAAGTGGGCGTGGCATATGCCAATATTGACCCCTTCCTCGCCCTGCTATATGACCAAGCGATTGACAGTGGGAAAACAAAGTTTCGTGACGCTTGATTTCGATTCCAATGGGAAGAATCTTTAAAGAAGTTATGGAATTTGTTTATATATTACATTAGTTGTATATACTATATCATTAGCTGAAAGACAGTCGAACTTCTTTTAAAACTTTACTTAGTATTATAAATTTTTCGCTAATCAATGTAGCTATAGACTAAACTTACGATTTTTTCAAAATAATGTCATATATTGCATGAAAGTCTACTTTAAATCCTAGCATAGATTTGTTTTATAGCATACAGCAGATTTTCCACACTCAAGACATCTTTTGAGATGATATATAACAAAATTTCTAAAAAAATAGGAAACTAATTTTTATTTTTCAAAAATATTCGAAAAGTGTGTCGAACTCTTACGATATATTCAATAAGATATTCATAAAACAAAATGATTGAAATCTCATATTCGAGACAAATTTCTTATGCTTATCTTCTTATTAATTTTTATATATAATTTTCGAAAGCTCTGTAAAATTCGTTCAAAAAATCATTTAAGTAAATTGTTTTCTAATTTATACATATTTTTTTTTTAACATTTCCTTTAGAAATATGGGAAACTTTTCTGCGATAGATTCAATAAGATAATACAGAAAATTCTTATTTACGAGACAAATATTTATATACTTTTTTTTTTTGAAATTTCAATATACGCTTTTTGAAATCTCTGTAAGATTCGTTAAAAAAAAATCATTTAATTTAATTTATGCATAAAATATTTCTAATTATATATCTAATTGTATATAGTTTTTTTGCGAAATTTTTGTTTTGAACTTGCGAGTGACCACTGTATTAACACTGCCAGCAAAAGTATGCTCCAGTTGAAAATGATGCATGATTTAGTGTGCTACGGTTTCGCCTAGGGTGGTATATGGTGTAATGGATGTCTTACATTGGTATTTATTTAGCTGTTGTTGCGTATTGAACTCAATGCGAACAACAAAATCAAATCGCTTATCAAAAGCTCGAATGTAGCCTGTGCCGCTTATCAGGTCGCATTACGGCGACCGTTAATCGCATGACGGCAGCGCGAAGATCTTTCGCGGGTGGCCAGGGCCCCGATCACGAGTTGCGCACCCCCCACCCCACAACGCCCCGCTGCGCCCAGGCAGTGCGGCTGCTATTGATAGACGCGGACTGATTAGCCGACCCATGTTGATGTAGGCGATAAGGCAGATCGCGGGGCCCTACTGTACTATAGATATTAAATAACTAGAAGGGAGCAATCGTTCGGCGATTCAGAATGCACTCCAATGATTAATCATGCCTAAAAAAAAATTTGGGAATGTATTTTTAATATAGTATCAATTTCCCTAACACATCCGGAACCTTTTCGATTCGTTTGCTCAACAAATTAGGCGGCCAGTGCGAACATCGCCCCAGTTATTCACAACTAGCGCACAGTGGTGCGAAAGTGCGCAAAACTCGACTGAATTGTCGAGCTTGTTGTGAGCTTCAACTTTAATTTACATAAACATATATTTCTATCTAGTCACATTTTAACTAGGCCGGGTCTAATTCGAATTTCGTTTACTTGCCCCACTGTGCCACAGTCTTCTCCAGCAAATACATTTTTAAAGTTTCGTTTCTTGTGTGTGTTTTATTTTTTATTGGACAGTGCGATTGGCAACAAATTAAAGCAAAATGCTTGTTATCTATAATACACCGACGCCGCATATACTCTAAAGCAGTGCTATAAAGATTATGATATAAGCACACGGCCATATATATTTATATCTTACACTGCTTAGCTTCTCCAACTGCAGTTCTTTGGCCTTGACTGACTGGCTTAGTAAATACATATGTACATACATACGTGATAGAAATATATTTTCATCATTCGCCTTTTTATTTGGTATTTTTCCATTTCGTTTTAGTATTTTTTTTTATTTTATATAATAGTAAAAGGTTATAAATAGTAAAAAGATAAACATTTAATGCGGTCTTTAAAGAATTGTTGTCCTTGTATCAAAAAAAGCAAAAAAAAAATCAAAAGCAACTAGAAATGTGCTGTGCCAATTGCCGATTGTAGATGCCTATATAGATACCCTGGAACACAGACTATTGCCGATTAAATAGATTTTCGTCAGCTTTATTATGTTGCCAACCACTGCAAAAAGTTGTAAAACTCAGCCAATAAGCAGAGAAAGAGATAGAGAGAGAGAGAGAGAGAGAGAGAGAGGGAGATAGAGAGTGAGAACAAAATGGAGAGCAACAATATATAGTTAGTTATCACATTTATAACGATTGGCATTTACTATGCTCATACTATACATATACTATATAAATGTTCAACAAAAAATATGTTAATTAAAATTTAACACAGCTTATTGCGCTCTCTCTCTTACTTACATACTCTCTGGCCCACTGATAAGAAAGCACACAGAGAGCGCGCGCACCGGAGAGCAGCAGAGCACGAACGCAAACGCGAGCGCGAGCGCGAACGCGAACGCGAGCGCGAACGCGAGCGAAAAGGCGCAAGAGTTGCCACTCATTTGTCGATTGGCTGCGGAGCGGCACGCCGTAATTTGTTCATTTGTTTTTTTTTTTTTTTTGCCGATTTATTTGGTCGCGCACTGACAACGGCAACGGCTGTGCAGCACTCCAGAGCAGAGCACAAGATCAAAAAAAATCACAAATAATCGAGCCGAAAGCCAAGCAAATACTTTCAATTACCGTTACACACTCCGATAGTCGAGATCGAAATTGAACACGTCTGCGCTGTGCCTCAACAAAACATATATGTACATATATATAACAGTTTGTTTTTGTTTTCGTTCTACCCATTGTTATTTTTTTTACACTTTCGTTGTTTCCAATTCGAATAACCGCCAATTTTCAAAGTTGACGCGGTCTCAGTTCCCAATCGGCAGCTCAGCGAAGCGCATCGAATGCAAAGTGAAGTTCATTGAAAAATAATCGAAATTGAAAAAACCCAAAGGACACTACCAACAAAAATCAAACAAAGTGCAACTGAGTCAAAAGTAACATATAATAATATAAAAAAAAAAAAAAATATATTTAGGTGCAAGCTGCAAGCTAGGACCAGGTAAGATGCAATTAAAGTTCTATATTATAAAGTATATAAATAATTATAAAAATAAAGTATATTCAATAATTTGACTGATCGAATGCAAGGCATGCACTGACAAAGTTAAGAAAACATCGAATAAACCACAAAAACGTGCAACTATTTTTAAATTCTCTCAATTTCGAACACTCAAAATTACTAAAAATATACTACAATCTATATCTATATACATATGTATACCAGCGGGTGTGCCAAGCAGAGAGTATCGTTGGGTGTGGGTGTGATTGTGGCTGTGCTTGTGCGTGTACAAGGCGCCTCACTGTGACACAGTTAGCCCCATTTGGCAACAACCCTCCACAGGTGGCTGCCACACTGAGCGCACTGTAAACAACGGTATTCCGTATGCAATGTGCCCCGCGTGAGACCCTCCAAATCGGCCTATGGCAATGAACTTGCCGGACAGCGATACGATCAAGTCAAGAACGAAGCCAAACAGTTCAAATTCTCATCGAAGTAGACAATTATATGTACATAGTACATATATGTACATATATCTTATCATGAGTGTCACAAATTGTATATTGAAGTTTCGTGGATTTGATTATGAAAGCATGGCCTGGAATTATATTTGAATGCATTTTGATTAAACCAATTATATTTATATACTATGTGTTGATTTCTTATTTCAAATATTATTATTCATTTTTGATTTAATTTAATATGACACGTGACAAGTGGTTAAAAGGGTATACTGTTTTTGTGCAGAGGTATGTAAAGGGCATCAAAAAGAATATATGTATATACTTGAGACGATTCGATCTAGTTCTATATCGATCTCAGAACCTAAAAGAGCTCGTGATTTAAATGTAGCTCCTCCTTGTACGAGTTTGTTTCCGATAATCGATCATTTGTCGCGTTTCCGGCAATCGATAAAAGTCGATATCGAAATCCTGTTGACGTTTTAGAAGCTAGAGTCACCAAACTTGACATTTAGCTTCTAGAATAGTATGTTATAGTCTTGGTGTTGGCAGAAGAGGGTTCAGGGTATCCCCCATTCGCGGGATCCCGACTAATCCCTCTTACTTGTTCAATTGCAAGGCTGTTTATCTGAGTAATATCTGACAATAGCTGCATTTTATGAACTTAGTATAATACAGACAAATACTTCAGAATTGTCCGTTTTTAAATATATTTCTTCATCTTCTTATCATTATTAATTTTCCCTCTTCTTCTTCTTATTATTTTCATTATTGGTACTGTAATAAAATCTTTTAAACATAATTTTATTGATATAAATAGTATTCTCTGTTCCAAAAGAGGGATTTTTATAATTGGAAAAAAAAACAAATAAATTAAATTTCGTCAAAACTCAAAATAATATCAATTAAAACCTAACCTCAATAGGACTCAAACAGGATTCGTATCGAACAAAAAACGAACCTAACCTCAATTGCAGTCAGTCAGAATTCAGACGCTGGCAAAAGGATCCTTAGCGCTGTGAGTGTATACCGAGCTCTGTTGCATCGATGTCACTGGGTCAAGTGGCAGGCCCGTGGGTAGGGGGCGTGGTAGGATTGGGGGGGAGGAGGCAGCGTGACGCTACGCGAATCAAAGCCAAGGCCAAAGCAATTAAATTGTCTGACCGCACAATTCGACTGCATTATTGTGACAGGCGTGTAAATTAATAGAATGCTAATTAATGCGCTATCTGTAATGAACAAAGTGCGAATCTGACTGATAAAGACATCTACGGAGCGAGAGCGAGAGCGAGAGAGAGAGAGATGGAGCGAGAGTGAGAGCGAGAGCGAGAGCGACACCGAGATAAAGACAAAGACGCAGCTCTTAAAGCCAAAACAAAAAAAATGCAACTGCGACAGTTTTTATTATATTTTTTTCTGAAGGCTTGCAGCCTCATAAATGTCTTTCATTCATCTTGCCTCCACACACACACACACACACACACACACACACACACGCGCGCGCTCGTGCGTTTCCCATTTTCCATTTCCCATTCATGACGAACAACGGCAGAATGCTTTTCCACAAGGTGAGCGAATGGTCCAATTCGCGTTCCGTTTGAACCACTGAGTGAGGCGCCAAATGAACCAGCCAAATGAACTCTGAACTGAACGTGATTCACTAACTCATCAAGTCTCTCTCTCTCTCTCTCTCGCTCTCTCGCTCTCTCGCTCTCTCTCCCGCTTTCTATCTTTGCGTTTTTGTTGTTATTTCTTTGGGACCCACGACTTTGGCATTTTGTTTATTTGTTTTTGGCTTTTTTCGCGAGTTCAACGACTTGGCAACAACAACAACAATAGCTGCAACGCAATAGCTGCCAAAACCGCAGTAATCAAACAACCTGCCAACCCCCCTGCCGCCTCCCCTCCCCCGCGCGTCCACACCCCGCCGGCAAGCAGCTTGTTGGCGTTTGCCAATTTGCCAATTTCCTTTGAAAATTTCCACTTTGAGTCTGGGCCAGGGCTGGGGATAGGTCAGTATGCATTCCTCATGATGCATTCCTGCTGCCCCCTCACCCCTCACCCCTTCCCGCACACACACACACACACACGCACACTCGCTGACGCCCCTTAGATAAACCCAAGCGTCAATAACAGGCCAAGCGAACTGAAGCTGTTATCGGTCGCCGCCTGATAGGAGCCAGAGACTCGACTTTGGACTGAACCAATTCGTCTAAGCAATAGCATTGAGTGCACCCAACAATGGATGCAATTGCATGCTCAACCATGGATCGCAATTAAAGAGGTTGTTCATTTTTTAAAGACTTTCCAAATCTATCTCGAAACTTGTTAAGAACAATTTTTATCATACAGCAAATAAGAGTATAAATGACAGGAGGCTAGAATGTGCAAGCGCACGCACGCACGCATGCACGCACGCGCACACGGACGCATGCACGCACGGACACACTCTCGCACGCACGGACGCACGCTCGCACGCACATACTAAGTTGCGCTCTTCTGCTTTCCTTTGTCCAGACTTTATTTGGGAAATGCATTCTTGATTAACTTCGGTGTTAAAAGTCCGATATTCATGAAATTTTTGGAGTTTACAAATGGCATACAAGTATGTACAAATGCCAAAGACCAAGGCAATAGCTGTAAAAATGAGGCAATGGAGGAGGTACTCTAAGTCCGTATGTACTCTACGAGAACCGTTATCCCTAAGTTGATGTCTCTAGCTTTTGTAAGCTCCGTCATAGATCGATATTTCCTATTGCAACAGCTTGACAGACGCATTAGCCATCATGTGAACCGAGTTTGTTCTTGTTAGACTAGTAGAGTGTACGATATTTAGGAAAAGTTTAAAATATGCAGTAAGTTAGAGTTATATTATATGATGATGAGCTAGTGTGGCAGCTCAAAAGTCGGGCCTATATAATAGCTAGTATATGGGGAAATGCGAAAATGACCAGTTTATATAGCTGTAGGTATTTAATGGTACTCCCCTCTCGATGGTACTCAGGACACGTGTTCGATTCCATCCAGTATATACGTACATATATTTTTGATCAGTTCCAATTTCCCTTGCCTGTTGATCTTTTTTTTAGTCTCTCAGTTGTGGGTCCATATCTGTCGGGTTGTCGGAACTATATCATATAAATTTTATATTTATATTCGGTATCTTGACTAGATGCAGCACTAAGGAGCTTTAATTTTTCCCTAAAACATCTGCAACAATTCGATATACTAGATTTTGAAACTCTATAAGAGTATTTAGTGTTCGACGTTGGTGTTAATTTTCAATTTTTTTTTAATCTTTCTTTTATTGAATCTATTAAGTGGGCGTTGCACATGTCTACCTTTTTTGTCCATCTCGCTTTCAATTAGCTTAACGCTGCGTATGCGCAATATTCGTATCATCTTGTCGTTGTTTTAATTTGTTCATAATCACATTTTTTGTAAGTAATTTAACCGCACGAGATTAGGCACGTCCGACTGAAAGTCATGGTCAAGACATTTGTGTTTGTGTGTGTGTGTGTGTGTGTGTGTGTGTGCTGCTTGTTGCCGAGCAGAGGTTCAGGTACCTCGTTCTAATTTAATTGCCTCTGATTACACAAAGCTCAGCGCCGCCGTGCGCTGACTTTTGGCGGTGACTGTGAGGCGTGAACCGTGATTGCGACTGCGACTGTGACTGTGACTGGTGAGTCACATGGCGCCGTTTCCTGTTTTGTTGTGCACACACACTTGCTGCTGCTGTCAGAGATGCTCCTCAGCTGCCACAAGCCAAGCCTAATCGAGTTGCTTTGTTGCGACTGAGCTGCGGCAAACTTTGTTGTTGTTGCTGCTGCATATAAGAAATATGTATATAGCAGATATATATATATATGTATATATATGTATATGTACATAAGTTGGCGTTTTTATGTGGCAACATCTGAGCATTCGCTGATAATCGGTGGATAGAAAACACAAGCATTATTGTTCTCATTTTCATTGTAATACCCTAGAAAAAAGTTGCACAACATTTTGCCATTGTAAATGTAACGATATTATATATAAGGAATGTTATGTAAGAGGTCAAGGAACTGCGCCTTCAACTTAACTGACGCTACAGACTAAGAAATGGAAGTGTTTTGTATAGCTAGAGGAAGAAACTATGCTGATTTATCGTTATCGAAATCGATATCGATATCTGCATTTGGGATATATCTCGCAGTTTAAATATCTAGACTCTCGTCTACCTTTCCCCGCTAAAAAAAACCCTTTCCATTTGTGATCTATTTGCACTCAATTCAATAGAAAGATAATTATAATGCTGAACACTAAGTACAGGGTACCTCCTATTCGAGCACTCGCGACTTGTTTGCAATTCATGAAAGGGTATCCCGTTTGCGGCACTATCAAAAGCGCTGCATTTCCTTGTTATTTCGATTCCGATTTTGTTTTTCCTCTTTGTTATTCTCTTGTATATGTATGTATATATATATTTTGTTTTTCTTTTGTATTGCATTATTGTGCTCACTGTGCATTTATTGTGTCATTATTATCATCGCGTTGCATTGTTGCAACTTTTGCGCATTGTTTTTTGACTTGCTGGCAGCAAGAACAACAATGTTGATTGGGCATGCAAGAAATCGTATTATATATGTATGTATATGTATTTGAGCATATGTAAATATGCAGACGCAGCCACTTTAAGGCGATTGTCCAAACGAAAACAAAAATGTATCAAAACAAAATTTAACACCTTTTACAGGCGTTACAAATGTGTACCGGAATGTAAAGAAGAATGTTTAGAATGTTTTAGAGAACTTGTTATTTGATAATGCAGCGTTCCCACTGCATATCTCACATTATTTTCAAATGCAATTAGATAACGCAACGTTTCCACTGTTGTACAGTTAGATGCATAATTACAGCATTGGCAACGCTGCATTTACTTCAAGCTTTCAAAGAGATGCTGTCGTGATACCACCTAATTTGGCAGTTGAGTAATAAGGTGGCAGCACTGCAGTCAAAAGAAAAGTGCTGCCACCCAGCTAGTGCGAGTTCAATTGGAGTGCTGCCAACAGATGCTATTAATTGCAGGCTAATTGGGCAGCACTCCAATTGACAGCATATCAGGTGAAGGGGAACTATCTTTCAATGAAGGCGGGTTATCCCTTTGTTGAGAGCTTAAGAATCGATGTTGAGCTTGAAAACAATTTACAGTGACTTTCTCAATGATTATCTAGCATTTTGTGTACGCATAAACCAGATTTGATTTGCGATCAGCTGTTGTTCGGTTAACGACTGTGTTTTGTACAATTCCCATATCATTATTAGTATATACGTATGTATATTTATGTATATATTTTATTGTCAGCAAAACAAACGCTGGGGGTCTAGCGGCCTGATAATCAAAGGCAATCTATAAATGAGTTTTAATTAAAAATAAAACTGTTTTTATACTTTGCCATTTGTTTTGATGCACGATTTGTCTCGGTTTCGGTTTCGGTTTGAATCGGATCGGATCATGTCAGAGGCCCACCTCTACCTCCCCTCTATTTGAGCGCCCGACCGCGCCCGCGCAGTTCAAGAGGCCGCTGATAGCAGCCCAGCAACAACAACAATGGCAAATCAACGAAGCTTCTGGACTTCACAGATACTCTCTCAATCTCTCTCTCTCTCTCTGCCAGGGTCCAAGCAAAGTATTTGTTTTTGTTTTGACTCGTCAGCGTTACGCCGCCCGATTGACGGGCAGTTCAGAAGGTGGCGCCTCAACCTGATAACCGCTTCGATTCGGTTTTGCAAACATCAGCGAACTGAACGAACTGAGCGGAGCAACAACAGCTCCCATTTCTATCTGTCTCCGTTTGCATTTAATGACAGCTGCATTTAATGAATTCTTCGATTCTGCTAAACAACGTCAATATTTTCAATGACAAATAGAGTTTTGATTTAATTAGTTATGATCTGTCAACGGTTAAATGTGTGGCAACGCCGCAATCGCTAAATTGGCAGCACCTCAAATTTAAGCTGGCTGACAAAAATTACAGTCGTGGCTTGAATATTGACACCTCTTCTCCAGAGCTGCTTTGAATTGTGAAACAATTGTCATATTCTCCATATATGGTCCTGTATATCTTAAGAAAAATTAAAATTATTTTAGGTTTTATCTTTAATTTACAAAAAGATTTAAAAATATATAAAAAGGCATTTAAAACCTAATCAATTTTGTAAATTTATGCCAAAAATGACACTAAACTCTAGCTATATCAGCTATACGATATAGAAAATCAACTAAATCTTATCCAGTTTCAACAATGCATGCCTCAAATTACAGAATTGCCACCTCTTTCACTTTTGACACAATGTGTCTACCAACAACAAGCAGGTTTAAACACCAGGAGAGAGCAGATATCAAGAAGCTCTCGTTTGCAATCGATTCGAGATTTGCAAGGCCTTGTCCTCCCTCCGAAGCTATAACCACTTGAGAATTATAAGCAATTTATACTTGAATTTATGTTTTGCACGACTTTTCCTTGACATTTTCTTAAGCATCTTTGTTTATAATTGTTTTACTGTACCAGTTATTGCGAATTATGCTGATACGATGTTTCCATATCTAATTGCTTTTCAAATTCATTTCAGACGGCCCGCACAACATGCCACAGCAGCCGCTGCAGTCGAAATCGCAGCTCAGATAAGGAACTTCTCTACCTAAGAGAGAGAGAGAGAGATAAAGAGAGAGAGAGAGAGAGAGACACACACACATACACCTTGAGCAGCAGCCACAGCGGTCGAGATTAAGACAAACGCCGCAGGGCAGTGAGCCAGTCACACACACACACACACACACACACACACGTACATTCCACAGGATAAGGTCACAAAATGGTGCACGGACCGCCAGCACGCAGAAAATCCCAACAGACGCAGCAGCATCAGCAGCCGGGCAATGGGAATGGGCAATGCGAAATGGATATGGATCCGTTGCCAACGCCCCCAGATGGCGGCTGGGGCTGGGTTGTGGTCTTTGGCTCGTTTATGATTCACATAGTCAGTAAGTGCTTATCCCAAAGTCAATTAACCAGCGTGGACACTTGTCACGGGCCAACAAGTGAACGCACAGTGGGGCAAGGTCGCACTGAAATTGCATATCCGAATTATGACAAATGTGGAGAATTGGGAACAAGCATTTGAAAAATAAATGATAATCTGATAGAAAGGCATACTAAGTGAGCATGTAAGGAAAATAACAAAACGTAGTGCATGCTTGAAAATCGCATAGAAAGGCGGTCTCTAGAAAATATTACTATTTAAAGCAATTCAGATATACACTACTTCTTAGAAGCAAGCCTTCTTTATGTCTGTGCAAGATATTATCATATATATCTGAGCTAAAAAAAACCAGCAAATGCCTTTTTCATAAGTTTAGAAACCCGATTATAAATAGATGTGATATGAAGCGACAAGTATGCATGTAAGAAAATGTCTTTGAGCGCATAATGGCTGTCTTTGACAAAGTATTTAAACATAATCGAATAATTGTAGACGCTATCAGGCACTTGAACAGCACTTAACACACGCAATGCTTTAGTTGGTAACTCAGAGAACTTGAAATAACTAATGTCTTATCTATAATCAAATCGATAATGTCGCTATCAAATGCTATAATAACGATAAAGCAAAGTCTAAGTTTATGTGCCCAACAAATATTTACAGCGATTCGATTTGAGGTATAAACCAATTGCCGGCTCGAACCCGGCATTTGAATTGACTCTTAACTTTGCAACGAACCTGAAAAAAAACTCTTGAGTTAGGCACCGCCAAAAATCATAAAAAATTTAGGCTTTGGTTACAAAATATTCCTACTCACATTTGAAGCTTCAATAGATTGAATATTTGGGATCAAGATAAGGCTCCAGCTCTTCATTTTCTTAGTTAGCTTCAGGTTAATTAAAGATGTGGGCGGTAAAAATTTCGCTGCGTGTTCATTGATTTCCAACCACTGTGCACGCTGTGTACTGCGAACTTTTACATATAATAAAATTTTCTGCTGCTGAAGCTTCTGCTTCAATTTCTACTTGAATTTGGTTGGCCCAGTCGCATGGCAACCGCCCGGAGCTGCATTCATAAATCAATAAAGAACAAAAACTATATACATATATCTATGGATGAAGAGGCAAAAAAACCTTGGTCAGCTTATGATATGAGGAAGGGGAGGGTGTATCAGAAATAAACGCACTAATCGTGCAAATCAAATTTGTTAGCCAGACGCGCGATTAGCGCCTGGCCATAAAATTTAGTTAGCAGCTGATTTACGATAGGGCCTAGGTTGATACTTAAATAAATACATATATGTACATATACACAAATACATAGATATGTGTGCATAGGGACAGACGAGGGGCGCACATGTAATTGGCTATACATAATTATCAATTTTGGTTAATTGGCCAATCTTATCATGTCAGAGCCATAAGGAACTCCACATGTGGCCAACGGCCATGCCCCTTATCTGGTTGCCTAATTCTGGGTCATAAAAATGTCAACGGTAGCATTGCTGATAAACAGAGAAAAAAAAGAGGGGGGGGGGGGGGAAATTTCATTAATTGCCAGCTAAACTGATTTATGAGCAGCTATTCGAAATTCCAAGTTTTTGCAAAACACTTTCCGCACACATTCCTCCACAAGTCAATGGAGTATTGCCTACTTTTGGGGGAATGGCACTCAGTCCAATTGGAATTTGTCCGATTGGACTTAATCCAACTAGTTTGGTCCGTGAAGACGTTTTGATAGTTCACAGTTGACGCCTTTTCAATGTCTTTAAATAAATTTTCCATGCAAATTTGACACGCAGTTTAACTATACGTTAAATATGTAAATTCTTTTGCACATCTGGCAGCACTGAAGCACATTTGTGAACAAAAAAAGCTTGCGTTTGACAGTTTAAAAAAACTGTATCCATTGCTTGTTGTCAACTGATAAGCGCGGCGTTGCCACTTTTGCGAAAAATGAACCATTTATATAAGCAACGTTTTAAAAACTAACATGAAATTTGACAGCAGCTTGTATGGCGTTGCCACTTGTGCAAAAATGAGAACATCATATCTTTGACCAAGCGACTGAGACAATTTAACTTGTTGTCAACTAAAACTAGCTCGTAACAGCAATATGCCTAGGTCATTATAACTCGAACAGTCCAGACCATCAGCAAGCGTTAGAGTTGCCACATTTTGCCAAAATGAACACCCTATTAACATCTTTGACAAGCGACTGAAATAATTTAACCTGTTGTCAACTAACAATAGCTTTTATAGCTCGAACAGACCACTTGAGCAAGCTTTAGGGTTGCCACACTTTATTAAAATGAAATAATTTAACTTGCTGTCAACTAACATTGACTCATAACAGATTTATGTTTAGATTTTTATAGCTTAGAGCACTTGAGCAGGCTTTAGGGTTGCCATACTGTCAAAATAACACGCTATTAATATCTTTGACAAGCGATTGAAGTAATTTAACGTGTTGTCAATTCACATGAACTCGTAACAGGAATGCACCTAGATCTTATAGCTCCAACAGACCACTTGAGCAAGCTTTAGGGTTGCCACACTTTATTAAAATGAAATAATTTAACTTGCTGTCAACTAACATTGACTCATAACAGATTTATGTTTAGATCTTTATAGCTTAGAGCACTTGAGCAGGCTTTAGGGTTGCCACACTGTCAAAATAACACGCTATTAATATCTTTGACAAGCGATTGAAGTAATTTAACGTGTTGTCAATTCACATGAACTCGTAACAGGAATGCACCTAGATCTTATAGCTCGAACAGACCACTTGAGCAAGCTTTAAGGTTGCCACACTTTATTAAAATGAAGTAATTTAACTTGCTGTCAACTAACTTATAACAGATTTATGTTTAGATCTTTATAGCTTAGAGCACTTGAGCAGGCTTTAGGGTTGCCACACTGTCAAAATTAACAGCTTATTATCTATTCGACACTTAGCCGACGGCATGACCTACTCCTTTGGCATATTCTACAATGAGTTTCTCACGTACTTCAATGAGGGCAAGGGCTACACCGCCTGGATAGCATCCATAATGGTGGGCGTTACCTTTTCATCGGGTAAGTGGGGCAGCGTGCCCGTATTTGGTACATATATCCGAAACGGAAATAATCCCAAGCTATTGACTGCATCTTAACCAGGTCCCATCAGCTCCTCGTTTGTGAATCGCTATGGCTGTCGACCGGTGACCATTGCGGGCGCCATTCTGGCGGCCGGCTGCATAATTGTCAGCATGTTTGCCCAGAATGTGGCCACGCTGATAGTGACCATTGGCTTCGGCACTGGCTTGGGCTTTGGGCTCATCTATTTGCCGGCCATTGTCAGCGTAACGCAATACTTTGAGGCGCGCCGTTCCCTGGCCACGGGCATTGCTGTATGCGGCTCCGGCTTTGGCACCTTTGTCTTTGCCCCGCTGACGGAGCTGCTGATTAAGAGCTATGGCTGGCGCGGCGCAATGCTCATCATTGGCGGCGTGGTGCTCAATTGCATTATATTCGGCGCCATGTTCCGGCCACTGGAGGCGCCGCGCACCAAAGTGACCAAGCTGGCAAAGAAATCGACGATCATGGATCAAAATGTAACGCCCGCCGAACTGGAGCCGCTCAAGGCTCAAGTCGCCGGAGTGAAGCCAACGTCAACGGATCAGTATCTGCAGCTGCCGCCGCGACCCGATTCGGCTAGCGCCGTCGGCGGCGGGCTATGTCGCTCCAACAGCGTTGGGCATAATCTCAAGCCCAGTTTGGTAAGTGCCTACTCGCCCCCGCCTGCCTGCCCGCCTGCCTGATTCCACGTGGCCCACACTAATCGCATGCCCTCCAAGCAGAACAACAACTCGAACGGCCTGCTCAATGGCCAGGCCGTCAATGGCCCGACGACGACAACGGTGGTGAAGAGCACCAGCAACGATGACTTCGGCCGGACATTTGCCAGCCAGCCGCAGCTGATGCCGCTGCGCGAGACGCACCGGGAGCGCAGCGCCAGCGGCACCATGTACCGCCCGGACGCACTCTATCAGGTAGGTGGACACCATGTCACTTTGCTGCACTCGATTGCTTATGGCCACTGATCGATTGCAGGGCTCGCTGCACAATATACCGGAGTACGCCAGCTCACGGAATGATCTGTCGCATTCGCGCACCGGTTCCGGCATCATCAAGCGCTATGGCTCCCTAAGACAGAGTCATCCGCTCGCCCAGAGTCAGGTAAGCACTTTATTCAATCACTGCAGCCCGGACCATTCGGGCTGCGGCTGCCGCTGGCGCTGCGTCTTCTCGCGTGCCTGGTACTCGTCGACGAGCAGCGCCACGTAGAGCACGACCAGCAGCGCCAGCAGGCAGCGTATCAGAAAGAACAGAAACCGCATCGGGGTCAATGGGGGCCGCCTCCTTGTGGGCAGACCCGGTGCCAGTCGCAATCTCTGCTTGCACGGATCTGGTCTGCCGGGCTAAGTATTCGACGCAGCTTCCCTCACATTCGACTCTGGTTCATTTATTGATTTGTTTTTTTTTTTTTTGGTTTTTTTGAGACTTGAATTTTATATGGAAAATTTGTTAGTACAGCTGCGAAACATTGTATTTGAGTATCTTAGCCAAAGGCTACTTAGGGGCTAGCGACAAAAAAAAAAAAAAACCCGCTGCTTCGGCATACCGAAGTTGAAATATTCCTGGAACCTGGACTCTGGCAATTGAAAGTTCCATAACCTTCCATCTGTGAACAGTTTGGAGAGCCTTTGCCAAACTTGTGAATATGTAATACACGCAATCAATCTACAATTTTCCGGGTATATAACTATGTTCCCAGCTCAAGACTCAAGTTTTCTGCTAAATCAAATACCGTTCGATTTTTTATTAAGTATATCCAAAATATACCGACTTAGCTATTGCAACTGAAGAGCTGATTATATCTGGCATTGATCCGGCATATATAAAGCTCTGTCAAAAAAACTGTTTCAAGTATTTCCACTTTATCCACACAATAACTTAATAACTTTCTAGTTTTCCGATATTTTTCAAATACATTCAAGTTGTTAGCTTTAGGATTTCTACTGCTGCGACTGATTTAAATGGTCAGCTAAAAACTGATTTGGATTATAATTAATGAACCTTTGACATTCTTCAAACTCAAGAGTTGTCCATATTGCCATAACATCTTACAAAACTGAACAGTTCGTCTTATCAGATACTTCATAAGCTTGAGCAGCAAAAAGCTTTTAGCTGAGAAATCTTCGGGAACTTAGAAACAATTGCAACTGAACGAATTTCAGAAACTGTTCCCCATTTGCTCAAAGCTAATAAAAGCAATAAGCTCTGCCAACTTGTGCCAGTATTTTATGCTGTATTCCAATATTTTGAATCGAATAAAGATCTTCAATATACATAAATAAGAAAAACATTCTGAGATACATATATTCCTTGTGAGAGCTTCAAAAGCATGATCTATCATACGTATGTATATGCTAATGCTTAATTAAATACCAGAAGAAATATTTCGTATTTTGTAAATATTCAAACCTGGTCACATGATTAAGAATTGGCAGGCTGTCAGAGCCTTCGGCAAAATCAAAAAACAAAGCTTTGAGGAATTTGCAGAAATGACAAACTTGCTGGATCAAGTCGCAGAATTTAAAATAAAAACCGCACTACAGGAATTGGAATACATTGAAGGTATCAAAATTGCTCAATTCAATTGAAAGTTATTATTGGGAACGAAACAAAAACTTGAAAGCCCTTATCGCACGCATCCAGCTCTGGGACTTGGCATGGCTGGCATTGCCATGGCCGATGAGGTCTGGGATGATCTGCTGGAGAGCATTTTGGCCATCTACAATTGCGGCCAACAAGATGTCGAAGGCGTCTCCGACTCCGATGCGTAGCCGTTTGTACAAATACAAACAAGACAAAAAACAATAAAACAAAAAAAACAACAACAACCAAGTGTGGCTGCATATTTTGTGCAAAAATACGTGACAATTTTTCGTAAATATCTGGCAACGCCAGAGGCTGCATCTAACTGCATTTAAACTCTACTTAGTCGAGTTATAACATTTTAATGCCAAGTAGTCAGTTTCCAGAAATATGTATATTATGCTCTAGTCTAGGGGAAAAAAAACAAAAAAAAAAAAAGTAAACAAAAATATTTTAGCCTAACTTGGTTGAGGGCGAGTCCGAACATCGTCTGGGCAACTAGGCCAGAAAGCGGTACCAGAGCCAGCTGAGCAGCTTATAGAGCACATAAAAGCGTATCACATTGTAGATGGCTTTCTTGCTGCGGTCAGAGATTTAAGCAGACATATATATATATATAGATATAGACATAAATAATTCACTAGGTGCAACTACTTACATGCGTATTAGTAGCTTGGCCCGCGGCAACGTTCTGGGGTCCTCATTGAGCAGATCGTGCCGTATGCTCTGGATCATATTGCTGCAGGCGGACGTCAGGCGATCCGTACGGTGTGCGTATTCGTATTCGTCGAACAGATCGAATTCGGTGCTGCAATAAAAATACAGTATATAATTCAATTCATTTTCTTTCTAATTTGTCAACATTATCGTCTTTTCCATTCCCATTGCCTGCCACGTAAGCAATTAAATATGATATCTTTTACAATGTAGAGCCCCATTTAGTGCACAATATCGGGTGGATTTGGCGAAATGCGTGAAATATATTTCACATGAATTTTCACAGAAACTTATTTTCAAAAAATTTTACGCCAATTTTTCACAGTTGCGGGTGCAATTTCCAAACTCACTGAAACCCCAATTTCACCAATGAGGGTGGATTTTGCGATAAGTGTGAAACAAAGCTCAAACAAATTTTTCACCAAGATTCTTGAAAATGAGTTTGGGACTAACCGGCGGGTAAACAAATAAGGTTAAGCCGTTTTACGGGTTATTTTTCGGCGGAATTCCCCAAATCCCCGTTTAATCTTTGAAAGTTTTGCGCTATGGTTAATCAGTAATCAGTCAGTCAGTCAGTCAGTCAGCGAGTCAGTCCGGACAAACAGTTTTAGAGATATAGATATCGATATAGCTGTAGATATAGATATGACCTACCCTCTGTTCTGCTCCAGCATGCGCGTTAGATCTGTGGCGCCGGGACTGTCATAGTTGTTGAACATGAAGGGCTTCATCACCTCGAGCGTGTGGTAGAGCTTACGCATGATGGGCATTATGGCCGGGCGGCGTCCGCAGAGTCGCAGCAGCAGATCCACGAATAGGGCGGGCAGTAGCTGCTTGGTGAAGACGAGGAACTTGTAGACGAAACGATTGTCCGTATAGTGACAGCCGGGCACCCATAGATTCTTGAGGAAGGCGCCACTGTACCACAGATTCATTTCATCCATGTGTGTGGCCATTCGCCGGAACGTGAACGGTATGTGGTTGCGCGACGACGTTTGGTACACCAGCAACTCCTTGGGCGCCCTACAGTTGTACGGGCATGGGGATAAGGGAAATATCTTGGCGGGATTATGGTAAATGCACTTACCCCTGAACGTAGGCATCGTAGCCGCACTTGGTATAATAGATCATGCCCTTTATGCCCATATCCTGCGGAGTTATATCCAGGTGTACATCACGCCCTATATAGACGGTCTTCAGCAGGCCAGCGCCCACCAGCGAGAAGAGGCCCATGGCGCCCATCAGCGAGGGCGCGTAGCCGGGCAGGGGATCGCTTACCGCAAAGAGCACTGTAGCCGAAGCACAATCCGATTATCGATTACAGGGTAGGCAAACAGAATGATTAACAAACCTATCGAGGGCCGATAGACGATAACCGGCAGGCGCGTGCGATAGTCGTTGATCAGAGACTCGGCTAGGTTCTTCGTAAAGGTGTACGTGTTGGGAAAGCCCACAATTAGCCTAGAGAAATGTGTGTTGGAAAGTGTAGCAAGCAATGCATAAATATCATCTCGCATCCGTCCTGTCAAACCTGTTTGCGCAACAGTTTTTAAAGTCACAGTTTGAAGGTCACGGCTATAGAGTTACAGTTTTAGAGTTCGTTTGAAGGTCACAGTTTGAGAGTCGCTGCTTTTAAGCCACCAAATTAGGTGTGTGCTTCACTTCCACCAATGCACAGTTTTAAATAAATATTCAATTTCGTATACATTTTAAGGTCGCAGTTGTGGAGTTACTTAATAATTGTTGGTTTACAGTTTTGATGTCACAAAATTCAGTCTGTTGATTACTGATGATCTCCACAAAAGATCAGGCGGAAAATATTGCGCCCTCTTATCTTCTTTCAGATCGCAGTTTTACAGTCACCGTTTGGGAGTCAGTGCTAATTTGACAGTTTGAGAGTCGCGCAAAAAAAATACTGTAATTGTCATTTCATTCGATGCAGATCTACTTTCAAAAATCATAGGGCCACAGTTTTAGAGGCGCTGTTCTCACAGTTTTCGTTTTAGCCAGTTTGAGAATCACTGCGTTAGATATGTTGTCTTACCGATGACCTCTCTCAAAGGCACAGTTTTAGAGTTACCGCTTGAACAGCTTTAAAATTACAGTTTGTGAGTCACTTGAAACGTTTTCCCACCTACTTTGAGCTAGGTCTAACAGTGAGAACAAAGTATTGATAGGAACTCACTTGCGGGTAAGCGTATCCAGGATGTTATCGTCCTTGATCTCATGCAGCATACGCAGACACATGCGCCAGTCCATGGGCGAGGAATAGCACTGGAAGAAGTAGGAAGAAACGAGAGGCGAGAACTTAGCCAAGTGGCGATAGATAGCGCAAGGGAATGCGATTAAGCACCTTGGGCTCCACACACTCCAAATAGGGATTGCTAAAGAAGGTGGAGACGTGCACAAAGATGCGCAGCTGTTGCAGACTTTCGGCGAATCTCAATGCCTCCAGAGTGCCGCCCACATTGAGCTGGAGGGCAACGCGCAGCGGCTCATCGAAGCGCACCGTGGCGGCACAATGGAACAGCAGCGATACGTTTTCGAGCAGCTGCCGGTGCTTGTCATCAATGCCCAGACCGGGCTCGGAGACATCGCCCGGTATGGCGAACAGTTTGTCCAGCTCCTGTGGCTTCTTGAGGCGCAGCACCTGGAACACCTTCGCATTGCGCAGCTTGACCAGCCGCTGCTCGGCATTGAGCTGGCGTCGTGGACGCAGCAGCACATAGATCCGTTTCACATTGCACGAGCGCAAGAGCTTCTCGATTAGCGCCTTGCCGACCACGCCCGAGCCGCCGGTGACAAAGATTTCGCTGTCCTCATAGAAATCGGCCAGTGTTTGTGTCATTGCCAGGCGATTCCAGCCGCAGTTCCTAGTTGCTGCCAGCTTTACGGGCGCACAGACACTAACCGCCAGCGATAAGCAGCGCCGTCTTTTGGGCCAGACGGCGGCGACCCGTCGGCCCGCCTGTTAATTATTCATTAGATCAGCCTACATTAAACTTACATGAGCTACTTACATACGCCTCATTTCAATGTGCGTATATGTTAATCCGACATGCGTAGCGCTCCAACCACGTCGCACCACCCCTTGCCAGCCCATCCAACCAACCAATCCACCAACCAACCAATCAACCAATCAACCAACTTATCTAATCCCGCAACGTAACGCATGGCATTCGACCCTGATCAGGTGTGCAATGCGCAAGAGAACTTGTGTTGAACCCGAGACACCTAAAACTGTAAACAAAACTGAAGCAGTTACGCATTAGACTAGTTTCACTTCTGACTGGACTAGTTCCACTTCTGACGGAACTAGTTCCACTTCTGACTGAGCCAGCTCCAATTAATTGAGTACCTGTGAAAGTTTTCCATTCGAATTCGAAAAGACATAGGCCAAGATCTGATTGGAAATCTCCGAAAATTACATAAAGAAAATGCCTGACCAGTAGATACCCTGCCTTCTTTCTTCTTTTCGGTCTATACAGTCCGATCTTTATGAAATCGAAGCGAATACGATAAGATATTGGCCAAGATCTGATTGGATATCTGCGAAAATTACTTAAAGAAAATGCCTGAGCAGTAGATACCCTTCCTTCTACCTTTTCCCTTCTCTGTATACCTTCGGTCTATACAGTCCGATCTTTATAAAATTTTCAGTGCTCTTTATTTTGGGTGCAATGGGATACATCAGCATAAAACCATACTACCCTTTCTTAGACATTTTCAAGGGGTATAGAAAATGTTTGATTTATGATCCGCTTGCGTTCCACAGGAGGTGACCAAATGCTGCGGCTGCATCAGCTGCTCCAAGGAGACGCGCGATACGTTCGCGGAAATGATGAACTTCTCGCTGCTGAAGGACATGATCTTTGTGATCTTCTCCGTATCAAATTTCTGCACAAGCATCGGCTTCAATGTGCCCTATCTGTACGTGGTCTCCCAAGCGGAAACGCTGAACATTAGCAAATCGAAGGCGAGCTATCTGATTGCCTCGATCGGCGTGGCCAATACCATTGGACGCATCATACTGGGCTACATAGCGGACAAGCCGTGGGTGAATCGCCTGCTCGTCACAATGTGTGCCTCACCGCCTGCGGCATTGGTAAGTCGGCTCAGCCGAGATTCCAGCTATAGCTAATCCCTGCCCCGATTTGTTGCAGCCACGGCGATGGTTCCGCTGTGCGTGGACTACTACTCGCTGCTCATCTACTGCTCCGTCTTCGGTTTCACCATTGGCGCCTATGTGGGCCTGACCTCGGTCATATTGGTGGATCTGCTGGGCCTGGAGAAGCTGACCAATGCCTTCGGGCTGCTGTTGCTCTTCCAGGGCATCGCTAGCTTCATTGGACCGCCCATTGGGGGTGAGTTGCACATAACCCCATATCGTATATGGCATATACATATACATATATATATATATATAAACATGTATATTTTGTTAACAGGCTGGATGTACGACATAACCGGCTCCTATTCGCCGGCCTTCCTCATGGCTGGCCTGATGATCGCCATCAGTGGGCTGGTCATGTTTGCCATTCCCCCGCTGCAGCGCTATCAGGAGCACCAGGCCGAGCAGAAGTACAATTCCGAGCAGCTGGCGCTCAGTTAGCTTCATCCATCGGCGGCTGGGATGGGCAGGAACGGGGGCAGGGCAGGTCAGGGCAGGTCAGGGCAGGGCAATGTTCGACTTTGTTAAATCATTTTTATTGATTTTCAATTTTTTTGTACTCTGTTTTTTTTTTCGTTTTTTTTTTTGTAATTTTTTTTTGTGTAGCTTTTAGGGAACATTTCGAAGAAAATGTTGAATGAAAATCAAAAGAAAAGTGTGTGCTGTACGCAGCGCTAGACAATATACATATACATATGTACTAAGAGTAGGCTTAGGTCAGGGCTACACACACATGCATGCATACACATACGTATTCATAGCTATAGACATACATTATTTATAAATCAACATGGCCAAGGGGGGTAGGAGGGGAGCTGCAATAGCAAAAAACAAACAACAAACAACAAAAAATGCAATTAGACACACGACAATTTCTGTTGACAGTTTTGTTTTTATACTCTGTACACACTGGGAAAAGGGGCATATTTGGTCTGTGCCCTGTGCGTTTGCTTTTATGAATCAGGGCTGCACAGAAATTGGAACCAATTCGAGCCCGGAACTCCAATTGATTGTCCCCAATGAACCGAACCTTTGGCCAAAACACAAACGGAACCGAACGATTTATTTTTCAAAAATTATTCGGTTCAAAATCAAATAATTTTTAAGAGAGCTTCAGCCTCAAAGTAAAAATAGCTTTGACTCCAATTATTGCCTCTTGCACGTACAAAATTGTAAATTAAAAACTTGAATTATTTTCATAGAATTCTAAAAAGAGAAAACAAGGTTTGAACTCAAACCGAATATTCAGGCAGGGAGCTGGTTCGTGAACCGAACCAGCAATACATTTTTTTTGTTGCTTAGCTGCGCAGCCCTGGTATGAACACAATTCTCGGGCCACGCCCACTTATTGTCGGACGACTCCTGAGAATCAATATCTGCCAGAATTGAAAAGCTATCATCATCAAGTTTGATAGACTGCTGTGAACCAGCTCGTTAGATCGATCACGCCCAAGTCCCAATGATCGATATTTCCTATTGTTACCGTTTGACAGGCACTGCTTGGCGCGTTGACAGTTTTAGAGTCACATGGCGGAAGGCGCATTTCGACTGATTTAATTGTTGAATCACATTGTGAACAGAGTATTGCACAGTCGTTAACACTTGGTTTTCTTTCACTTCTCTTTCTCTTATGTTTTACATTAACGCGTACTTTTGAGTACTTTTGTAATTTACGGTGATATACTCGTGCGTATACACACACAAACACAAACACACACAAACACACACAAAATACACACACACATTCAACCGACCCATGCACAAAACATATTTTATATATTTTGTTTTTGTTTAGTTTTAATAGATTGACAATTTTATATGTACAATTATGATATTTGTTATGCTATTAAAGAATATAACACAATTGATTTTTATACACAATCTGAATGGAGTTTTCGTTCAAATTGGCCGCGACACGATATCCTTTTTGTTTTTCTTGTTATACCTTGAACCCATTGAAAATGGAAGCAGAAGCAAACATCTCCGACCCCATAAAGTATCTGTATATATTCTTGATCAGCATCAGAATCCAAGTCGATCTAGCCATGTCCGTCAATCCCATACGCGCTAGAGACTTGAAATTTGGAATGTACGTCCTCCTAGTGCCCGAACAGTACTAGTTTGTTACAGATAATCCATAAGTTGCATCGTTTCCAAGTAATCGAAAAAAAACGATATCGAAATCCTGGTTTTTGAGCAAATCTCGTAAGTTATAAGACATATAGTCACCAAACTAGACATGTAGCTTCTAGAATAGTATATATATATTCAGTATCCAGTATGTATCCAATTGATTGAAGGTTTCCGTACGAGTTCAAAAAGGTATAACATATAAAAATCAGACGATATTTACCCGAGATATTCCAAAAAATCATCCAAATAGGTTGACTTTACAAACGAATCGTTTTTTGGTCAACAACTATTTTCAACCCATCGATTTTTAATTTGTTTGAATGCAAGTTGTTAGTAGGGATCCGTACGAATTTAAAAAGGTATAACATTGTAAAATCAGATATCATTTACCCGAGATATTCAATGAAAATCATCAAAAAGTTTTTATTTTTGAACCTATCCCGAATTTGCGAAAAAACGTGATGTAACCCCTTGCTGTTTGGTCTATTTGGGTCAAAATTTAGATTTTCATTTTGTTAATTCAAATCGATAGTACTGACCCTTACGAGTCCAAATTGGTATAAAATTCCAAAATCGGACATTATTTGGCCGAGATATTCCAAAATATCATCAAAAAAGGTTGACTTTACAAACGAATTGTTTTTTGGACAACAACTTTTTTCAACCGATCGGTTTTGGAATGTTATACTTATTTTATTCGTACGGATCCCTACTATCTATTGGCAATCAATTGAATCTAATATCGGGGCCTTACATTATAGGTTTTGACAGAAAACCAACTCTGGAATTATTTCCATAGTTCTTTCACTCTCTCTCACTCTCTCTCACTCTCTGTCTCTCTCTGTCTCTCTCTCTCTCTCTCTCTCTCTCTCTCCCTCTCCTCCTCTCCCCCTCACTCTCTCCACCTCTCTCTTTCCACCCTCTCTCTCCCCTTCTCTTTCTCCCTCGTCTCTTTCTCCCTCGTCTCTCTCCTCCTCTCCCCATCTCCTCCTCTCTCTCTCTTTCCCCCAACAATGAAACAGTGAATTTTGTTAAAGAGCTGGATTTTTATTGTATTCCTAAAGTGTTTACAAAATAGAAGAAAAAAAATACACTTTCTACTGCTTAGCTACAACAATTCCATGGCCGACAGTTGCCCCAGCACACACACACACACACACACACACACGCAGACATACATATACCCAGACACACACACGCACATGAAAACACACAGATAGTGCGGGGTCCAAGAACTGTCAGCTCTCACTGTATAACCCGTCTCACTGGATCTCCTCGTTGATGAGCTTCTTCAGCGTACACTCGCCGGCGCCCAGCTTATGCAATATGGCCAGAATTTCCTCCCGATAGCGATCCTTGATGGCCATCTCCTCCGGGGTATACTCCTCGGCGCCCAATCGCGTCATGCGCCAGATAACGTTCAGCTTGGCCTCGATGAGCACATAGTTGGAGGGCGGACAGAAGCGCGGGCACAGCTCATTGATGAAGTGTATCATGTCCCGGACGCTGCACGTATTGATCCGATTGTTGATCGTGTTCAGGGCAAAGTCCTGATAGCGCGCCATCTTGGCGTGGGGAAAGACATTCTCGCAGCTGAGACAGCGCCAGTCCGGCTGCAGGGTCTTCGTCTGCACGGGTATCACCAGACCCTTGCAGCCCTGCTCCCGGCAGAACAGCGCCGACAGATACGTTCCATTCTCCTGCAACAAAAAGTGATGCCAATTAGACATTGCAACAATTGGAATGTATTTAAATGACTTTTGACTTTGACATCTGCCTGGTAAAGTTCATGTTAATATAACTCTTAGAAGCGAACCTTCAAACTGTGTACACGAGTGGCAACGGCATGCTGACAAACTGGCAACGCCAGCTGGTTAATGCACAAGCTGGCAGCACTCAGGCAAAGATTTAAAGTTTCCTATTTAGCTGTCAAAATTTAAAAACCTTGACGCTGCCAGATAGTTAAACAAAACTAGGTGGCAGCACAGCCCCTATAAAGCGCTGTTAAACGAAGCTAACATGAGCAAACTGCTTTTGACAGCATGTTTAATTGACTGTTAACTTTGATGGGCACTTAAACAAATTCTTATACATGGAGCAAGACTCTGACGATATTTTATTGATACACAAAATGAAAGCGGATCCAGACAGAAAAGACAGAGAAGATTTACTGAATTTCACTACAACTTTTTTTAAAAACTAAATACTGTAGCTGAAATCCTGTGGAATCAGAGTATTTACTTTAAATATTCCCTTAATTGAAAAAAAAAACTTTAATAAAAACTTGAAGAGCTTTCGAGTGTGAACCCAACATGTCGATACCCTGTAAATAGCGTATGCTTTGGCCTCAGTGCGTCGGGGCTAAAGTGTCCTCAACCCAATTATAAAAAAACAATTAAAGAGCATTAAGACGTCGTTGACGTCCACCTGAGTATATACATATACATATATATATATATATATATTTTTCTTTTGGTTCTGTTATGTCTTTCTGTTCGACGGCGCCACTTGCATAACCCGCCCGCCTTGTCTAGAGGCTGGGCTAATGGGCCGATGACGGTGGAGGGGGGAGGGCGGAGGGGGGAGGGGGGGGGGCATGCTATGGGGCCTGTCAAACTGCGACTGTCATGTATGGTACTCAGTGCAGGGAAGCGGGCGGGCAGAGGATGGGCAATACACCGTTCATGTCCGAAAATGCGACAACCCCTCTGTCTGTGTGTGTCTATGTGTGTATGTGTCTGTGTGTGTGTGTGTGTGTGTGTGTGTCGCGCGGTTTGTCAGTTGTGGGTCTGGGTCTGGGTCTGGTCATGTTGCACTAATGAGCTCACGCTCATGTTCCCGCCCGTTGGAGGTGTCCGCGTAGGATGTGAGCTGCACGAATATACATACATATATGCACATACATACATATATGCTATATATATGTATATGGGACCTATGGGGTCTGCGGGGTCTGTGGGGTCTGCGGGGTCTGCCAGTTCTGCATGATCTGAGCAGAGGTTCGTACAAAAATCATATACAACTAATCTAATTAGGCGCATTTTTGTCATGTCGCTGCCAAATGCTATTATTCATCAAATCCAACGGCGATATATGTATGTATGTACATTGCCCGCACTATAATTCCCATAAGCATAAATATATATGGACGTATATATGTAAGTATATTTGGCTCAGACACTCAAACGCAGCTGCGGACTCTTTCGGTTCTATTCAAAGATATTTCTCGAAGAGACACAAACAATTCACATTTCAGAAATTCCAATAATTGTTTGTTGGGATCTTTTTTAAAAAAAATACTCAGCTATCCAGTTTAAAGACTTGTTTCTCCAAATTAACCTAAATCGATCACAAAGTATTTTTACCATGCACATTCTCCTAATATTGTTTTAA